GGTGGTGGTGGTGGCAGCAGCAGCAGAGAGCTGGATTTTAGATGTATCACGTACGGCATTGTCCCTCAAGGCCGGCGACGATCAGCAACTAAGGCCAGGACACAAAATAGAAGCGAGGATTTTGATATGCAGAAATCTGGTACAGAGCAGTCCCAGCTTGTGACATGACCAAGGAATATTACGATCGACGACGAAATCATCAGAGGGGGGCCAAGAGCAATTGTTTCCTGCTTTAATGCACATCTTGCGACCACCAGTCTATTTTTGTGGTTTGGACGCGGCCGCAGTGGCGGATGTTTCGCACAGAGGCAAGAAGCTGACTATGACGGGATTCCGAGCCGCAGATCAGTCAGATAGGAAGAAGGGCAGGATGATGGAGGACGGAAGGATGGAAACGAGGCTGCTCTGAAGGGAGAGTGGGAAATCAAATTTCGAAAATAGGTCGGTGGTTCTCGAGAGGGAGTGTGTGTGTATGTAATAATGGCCACCACCATGGGGAGATCGCCATCCTAACGATAGAGTGAGTGGCAGTGGCAACACCGATCAGATAAAGGAGGGGGGCGGCGAGAGCGGCGAGGGCGGCCAACAATCAAGTACACAAGTACTCGGTACAAGGTATACGGTAGGCTCGGCCGTCGCTAGAAATACTCATACGGCGTCCCTTCGGTAATAATTCATGGACCATCACAAATCGATACGGTAAGGCATGGTAAAACTGTGGGACACGACCTTCAGACCAAATAGTCAGGGAACAGTCAGCAGCGAAGCAACGATAGGTAAAGAAGCCATCATGGCCGTGACCTGAAAGGGTAAATAGTCCGGAGCCAGCGGGAAGCTTAAGACGAGGCAGCGTTGAGCTCGATGGATACCGGAAAGGGAAAATGTAGTCAGCAAATGAGGAACGGCGATTGGGCCAAATATTTAGACGTGATCTGTGCAATGCGCCATGCCAAAAGCAGCGGGTTGTAATGCTCCTCAGCTGTAGAGTGGTACCTCCCTCGATACATGGCTGTACGAGGTACTAATTACTGTGTACCTACCTGCCTACCTGAGGTACCAGTCGCTCTTTCTTACGAGTAATTGTACCCACCTCCTCTTGAGGGATAGTTTGCTGCCAAGCCACAGGTGACGCGAGGGATTGGTGTAGTCATCTGGTGATTCGTCGGAACGCCATCCCTGCAGCTCCACTATGAGTCGTGTCGCACTTTTGCAGCACTCGCACCAAACAGCAAACCTTCAATTAGGTAAGATATTGCTAATCTGCACCTTCTCCTCCCTTCCCGACCCAGACTGAGTTTTTTTCAGCACAAGCACACAACAACCGGCACAGCACAATACAGCATAGCGCAGTGCAGGCAAGCCTCGTTTCCTCATCCCTCCATTTTCCGCTTCCCACTCTCCCTCAACTCGGTCAACCCACGGTCCATCCTCAAACCCTCATTACTCAGCAACTGGAGCCTGACCACGCACGCACGTACACACACACACACACACGCAACCGACACACGCGCCCATCGCACAACAATCGCCCGTTGCCCCCTCCGTTGCCCGTATCCTCGAGACTCTCTTTTCCCTGCGCTGTGCTCGTCCTGCGCCCGTCGATTCGACTGCTGACTTTACATTTCGTCAAGCCGCCCCCCTCTTCCTTTTTGCTCCCTCCCTTCCTAGGTACCAAAGGCCTTGCGCCGGCCGTCTGCAACTCACATAACGAGCTTTGTCCTATCATCTCTTCGCCCCCCTCCGATCAGATATCTCCCTCTGGTTCACCTCGTACCCATCCCTTTTGGCTCCAGCGACTTGTAACCTGTTTCGTCAATTCGGTTCCAATCATTCAGCGAAACTCCACTGGGTCTTCTGTACGGGGGTCATTATTATCATCCATCATCAGTATAATCATCAGCATCATCATCATCGATGCAACCGGCCCTCGCTCCTCGCACGGCTAGCTCTTCCTCCATCATGCCTCAGGTAAGCAGCCAAGCCCACCCTGGTCCTTACTCAGACTGCTGCTTCGTGCTTGTGCAGTCAGTTTGCCCCCTTCTCCAAGTGGTTCTCGTACCCAGCGCGGCCAGCTTCTATACTGGGTCTTTACATCAAACTTGGGAAGGTGGTTGCAGGGCCCCCAGATGGTTCCAGGAACAAGGGCTTCGAGTCTTCGCGCGCTGCGCACGGTGGTTTATCGCATACCATCCCGCATCATACCGTCGCATGACTCCCCCCATGTTCCATGTTCCAACTTCCCCCTGGGACCACCCAATCACCCTCCCTCTGCCACTGTCCAAAAGGCATCGGTGCCTGGCTCCATCTCGGTGGCTTCCACCATCCTATTCAAGCCCAAGCCTCCTCTCTGGATCTTGCATTGACCTTTTCCCACGCTGCCCACTTCCCCAACTAAAGTTTTTTTACGGCAAACGTTTCTGACCTGTTTGAGCAATAGGACATTGTCAAATCCGACCACCGTACGTACCGTAATCCTCGACCCACCCTGCGCTCTGCTTCTGGGGCCTGAGACCCTCCGGGCCTCACCCATCACCCGCTATTCCTCGTCCAGCTTTCCTGCACCATCTGCTCGCCTCTTCCTTCTGCTTCCACACATTTGCCCTGGTCGGTTTCCCTTGCATGGCCTACCTACACCTTGCCCGCTGCCTATCGCCGATCCCGTCCGCATTACCCAAATACCGTATTGTAACTTTGGTTCGGTTTTTGCGGGTTTTCTTACCCTCCTCCCACCCCCCCTGCAAAGAAGAAGCATCATTTATCCTGTCCCCCAAAGAAGCAAGGATATCGAACCACAGCCCCTCCACCCACCCCTGTCTCCTCTTCCCGTTGCATACATATACCCTCCAGAGCCACCTCTTCTGTCCAGCCTTGTGTGCTCATACCTTGTTGGACTTTTGAGAAACTCTGAATCTTCTTTAGACTGTTTGTGCCTTTGTCTCAATTGCAACACGCCGTCGATCTATCACACACAGTCTCTTCTGTACCACCACATCCCACAACATCATGACATCTATTACTCAGCTACTTTCCCCGTGGCCGGTCTCTAAGCATTCAATAGTCCTGCGCGAACAACACTATCCTCCACCACCTCAATCATCCATCCTGCCGGACCACCTGGACAGCATGCCACAGCACCATCCCTCACCTCCACAAGATCCTGCGCACAACGACACCGTGACCGGCAGTGCAGAGAGCGACGGGGGCGAGAACAATGGCGACGGTCGTAAAGGCTATGGCAAGCGCGAGCTGAGTACCAGCAAGAGAGCTGCGCAGAACCGAGCCGCCCAAGTAAGCATCACTAGCGTCTTTGCATGGTCGCCCGGTTATGCTAACAATGTCGTCTCCAGAGGGCTTTTCGACAGCGAAAAGAGGGCTATATCAAGAAGCTCGAAGAGCAAGTGCGAGATTATCAGGTTTTGAGCGAAAACTTCAAGGCTGTTCAAGCCGAAAACTACCAACTTCGAGACTACATTATCAACCTCCAATCTAGATTATTAGAGTCACAAGGCGAAGTACCACCGCCTCCCAGCAATGTTGACGGACTGCAACCCGGCAAAGTCGGTCCTCAACAACCGGGCACCCTGCCCCGTCTATCAGAATTGGGCGCGGTTGGTCAACCGCAGGATGGTCTCAGTAGCCTGCACCATGAACCTCATCGCAGCGGCTATCCCGACCCCACCTATTCGGAGTCTCCTGTCGCAAAACGCCCGAGAACAGGTTCAGCTGAGATGACACCCTCCCAAGCAGCATTGCAAGGACCGGCCATTCTGTCGCAGCCGCCTACGGGTGCGCGATGAGGCGACTAATTTGTTCAATGTGTTTTTCATTCCCTTTTACCGCACTGAGCGGGAATACCAATGTCACGAGGGCGTTTTGCTCTACAGGGTTAGGGGGAAGGCATTTTATTTGGGCGTTGGCTTGAGGTCGAGGTCGCGACAAGGGGACGGACCATCGCTGTACTGAACATGAATGTAAAGGCGTTCGGGAACATAAATCAAGGGCGACGATGGCGGAGAGGTCAAGGACAAAGCAGCTCGGAACCTCCAAGACCTTAGCAGCCTCTGGCTTTTCCAAAAGGAAGCTGGGTGGACGATGACGACAAGCAGGAAGAAGGGGTAGAAATGGGAAGCCATGGCTGGAGAGGATAAAACATGGGCGGCCAAAGACAGTGTGATTGGAGTCAAGCTTTCTTACACGTGTACTACCGCGTCAAATCTGGTAGCCAGCAATCTGTACAAGAATGAAAAAGGCTGGTACATGAATTTGACGAGTTGATGATTGTGAGAGAGTGCGTGTCGACTCGATTGAGCCCAGAACCATGAGACAGACATGAGTCAGCCAGCAGGTTGCATAGCTTTGAATGAGGCTTTCCCAGACACGAGAGGAAGCGAATGAATGGGCTGTTGGTTGCGGATAGTTTCTGGTTCCTAACTCCGACCAAGAACCAGAAGTGTGTCACTATTAGTGATCCCGACTGTGATTACGCCAATGGAACCCCCATGGTCCGCAAAGGGATCGCTTTCTCTGAGCGGCTGTCACGTCTGCGAGCGAAGTCCCATGCAACTCTGCTAGTCTCTAGAAGGACAAGGGCCGACCTCCCCCGTCTCCTCTTTTCCCCCGCCCACAAGAGACAGTAGACAGAGAGAGTGTGTGAGAGAGATTGTGGGAACCGCGGCGGCCGCATCACACGCGGGCTAAGCCTCTCTGAAGGAACGAAGCGAGTGCCTCGTACATGAGGATGGTACATGAGGATGGTATTACATGATCTGGGCTTGTTGAAACCGACGGGAATGAGGTCTAGGCACCTTTCCACATGTGGATTTTCCCAAGCCCCGGCCTGAGCAGGGTATGGTACTACCGCGAAAGGCGAAAAGAAAAGGTCACCCAACTCGTATACCGAGTACCTTTTGTGACACCCCCCTCTCTCTCTGTCTCTTTCTCTGTCTTTTCCCCCCTTGCTCTCCCCCTTCTTCTTTTCTTAGCCCGTAATCGTACGTGGTATTCCTCGAGCACGTCAGCAAGGGTCCGAACGAGAGGAAGCGAGGAGGAGCACCAGGGGTGCATTGGGTCCGAAGACCTCGATGCGTGGAGAAAAACCCGACCCAAAACCAAAGAACTGACTTGAGTATATTCCGTACTGGTACGCCGGGAGTAATAGTCACAGAGACTCTGCCCTCCCCACCAAAAAAAGCCCTGGCTCTTTTCTCCTTTTGGGATATCGCAGAGGGTGAGGGAGTGGGCGATGGGCCGGTGGGCGGAGAGCAGCCTAGGAGATATCATTAGCAATGACAGTATGGGGGAAATGCCTGCGGACAAGTGCGGGTAATTGTTTAGTAATGCGACCTGAGCTTGTCCATCCACCCCAAATCCCCAAGGTGCCACATCTAATCATATCAGGATGAGATGGTTTGAGTGGTACGGAGTAGGACAAGGGTTGGTAGAAGAGATTGTCGATGCCTTACCTACAGAGGTAGGCAATACGGTACTATGCCCGGAAATGGTAGTACTGACAGAGTTTTACAAGGCCTGCCAACTGCTCAGAAAGCGCCTGAATGCCTGGGCTCATGCCTAGAGTACCTAAAGTTCTGGGCGGTAGATTCGAGGGTTGTGGCTTGTGTATGGAAGCCAGTACCGGTCATTACACGACCATACCGAAAACGGCAATCTAAAATTACCCAAAGTATCTAACAGCAAAGCCCGAAATCTGATTGGGGCAATGGCGGAACGCCCACGACGCAACGAGCCAATCAGACATGGGACTATCGTATCCCTTCTCGCCTTAGTTTCTTGTTTCTTGTTTCTCCAAAAGCTCTTTTGTGGCTTCATCTCCCTTTCCATCAATCATGACAAACTCACGCCCACACACACACACACCCAACACACATACGGAGTAAACACACACGGATCGGCCCTGCCGAAAACTCAGCTCTACCGTTTACCGTTCTACCGTTCCACGCTCCCGATTCCAGAGCCGAAGAATCCCAGAGTCCAAACGCCACTCACTGCCTGCAAATGAACATTGAGCCAGCAACCGGATGCGGTCCAGAAAACACCTCGTCGCCCTGCAGAACGCGATGTGCGTGCGGGCGTGGATACCTTCCCTGGATGCCACTGGCCCTGATGCACCTGAGAAATGTTTAGCCTTTAACCTCGAGATGTCCCTGACCTCGCGTCCCAGCTGTAATTGACCAAGCGATGCAGATTGCCTCCCCTGCGGAACACATCCGATCCTTTTGTCCTCCGTTCGACGATGCAGAACCGCATATCAACCAAAGGTCAACAACTCCTGCAATATGACGGCTACTGTCGCCTCTCCCCCTGTATGTCGCCGCCTGCCGAACGATAAGCGTCCGCTTCATTTGTAATGTTCGCCTCCTGAGAGCCTCTGTTAGTCCCTGTACATGTCATCGAACAATGCGATTCAATTCCCGCCCCCGAGAAGGTGCTCGACGGGTGGTGCGGGCGCTTTTTCCGTACGGAAGACGATGCCCGTGTACCATCGAAGCGATCGAGCCCAGCCATCGGGGTGTGCTGTGGACGATTGTAAACCCTTAGTAAGAGGGTAACCACGATGCTGGAAAAGGGCCGACGGGCGTCCGATCCTTCGCGCTGGGACTTTTGTGCGCCGAGCAGATTCAGATATAGCCTAGTCGCTTATCGGGGCGCAGAGTGTTGACTCACCCAGGCAGACGGTAGAGCCCGGCACCTGGTGGCACCTGTCACTGCTTAGGACGTGATCAACGATCTGACGCGACATGGCCAACTCAAACGAACAATTCCGCGCGGCCAAGTCTGTTGTCCGCAGGCCGAGGGAATGGGGGCAATGACGATTTCCGACTTTCCGGCTATGTGTATATGCCCGCGGTGGCGTTGTGCCCCTGACCGAGACCAGGGCCGTTTCCACTACTATACAAGTAGGTTTCTACTTTATAACTTTGTCCAGTGCCACTCAATGGGAGTGTTCCATTACATTTCCGTTTCCGGTAGGTCCGCTCGACTGACATAATGTGAGATCCGTAACAGTGACCACATCCTCTAGCCTTTGGGGAGGTGGCTGTCCTTGCGGCGCCAACAGTCAGCCGACCGGGGTCCAGATGCGACAACGAACACATTGAATTATGCTTGGCATGTTTCCACAACGTCTAGAAGCGACAGAACAAAGTCGATGGTCCCAGCCAAGACGTTCCAACAGACTCTCCATAGCTCCAAAAGGAACGCCAGGGAATACCGAACAAGGCAAATATGCTGGCCTCATGTGGGCCTCGTGATGGAGCTGGATATTTACCCAAAACTGCAAATGATGATCCTTGGGGGCTCAAAAATCCATGGCATCCTTCTTCGTCCGCTGCAGGAAGTGATCGACCAAAACGGGGCGTGTGTGTGTGTGGACGTAAAATACGGAGTTGATGAGGCTCCGACTCCACAGCTGGCAAGAGTCCAAAGCTGCCTGGCTTGACGGTACCGTGGCCCATAGCCGGACCTCGCACCAGACCTGGTATACAGAGCCCCAGGACGCCCCAGGTATTGACGCTGTTGCACATTTACTCCCTAGCGCGGCAGCCTCGATCTGCACGACAACCCCAGCTGCTCACGAGGCCAAGCCTTGTCAAACACCTAATGGAGCAATTCGTAAGAGACCATGGCGAACAGGCGATGGCAGATGCTCAGCCTGAGGCATGCGAGGCGGAACTACATACCACCGCCGCTCTCACGTTCTCCAAACTCGGCGCCCTGGAGATTCCCCAATGGTGATGATCAAGTCTACGCAGGCGTGTCAGGTTAACGCAGAGGTTTGCCCTTTTGGACCTTCTCCATCGCAGGAACACACCACCATGATCACACACATACATACCAAGGTATGAGCGAGAAGGATCAGGGGAGACAGGAACTCCAATCACCACTACTACTGTGGCGCGCTCCGAGATCGAAGATCTGGCTTGACATCGAGATTCACCCCCCAAAAGTCAGACCACGAGGCTGCTTGGGGGGGTTATGTTATGTGAGCGTGCAAGCCCAACTCCGGGGTTACGGGATGACTCGACTTGGCTCCATTCTACAAAAACGGGTTCGTTCTGGGTGATGTCTCTGAAGGAGCATGGCATTGCCTAGAGTGACTCGTCACCGCCATGTTGTCTGGTAACAATGCCCTCCCACACATGGAGTGCGGATGGCAGGCATGAGATTAGGAATTACGGAGGATTGAAGCTATTAACCCAGTGCAGTGCAACATCGGAAAGAGATGCACAACTGTTGAGTTAGTAGTTGACCATCGACCAGAAACGTGACGTTTACCGTGTGATAATCTGTGAGTCGTGAGTGACTTGCATCCTCCGGAAATTTTTTCCAAGAAGGATCGAACATATACCTACTCGGTACCAGGACAAGTACCAGGCAGGAATCGATCGCCAGACTCGTTTTCAGGTATTGAGGTTCGTGTAGCGTGTAGCACGTAGAGTGCAACGGAATAGAGTTCCATCTCCCTCGTGCGAGGGCTCATGCGAGTAGATACCTATCTAGATTACTTGGTTGCTTGGCTGTCTACTGATAGGTATTGTAGCTACCAACAAAGGTACGAGTTTACCAAGTAATACCTACCTACAGAGTACACTCCCTCCATAATACTCGGTGAGTACTTGTGCTCGGAGACTAGGTGACGCGGTGACGCGGTGCGAGTTATGAATGTATTTAATCGAATGGCTTTCTCCCTCTCGCGGTGAGCCTCGAGGGCGATTGTCTGTTGGGTGTGTATGTAGATTGGTCTGTGTGGTCTGTACTGTAGATAGATCAGTGGATAGATTGGTGGGTGAGTGGATAGATAGGAAGGCACCGCAGGTTTAAAAGAAAAGTGGAGAATGCCCCGATTCGGACATCGTGCCTCTCCTGGTCTCCTGGGTCGCTGACATAAAAAAAAAATCCCCCTCCGTTGTTGAAGCCCACCTGGGTGCCACGCATGGAGCTATGGGCTTACTCGGTACTCGTACTATTATGGTGCGTGTCGTGGGAAATTGCTTTTGGAGTCGGTACGTTTCCTCGTTCCCTCGTTCCCTCGTACTGGATACTCGATATTCGATACTGGGTACTCGATATTCGATATTCGATATTCGATACTCGTACCGAGTACCTAACACGCATTTGGTCTCCAGTGTCTCCTTTGGTGAGCTGTTGGCTGTTGGCTGGTGCTGGTGCTGGGCTTACTTCCTTCCCCAATCGTACTTGTACTCGGTACGTACATACTGTAGGTACTGCCAGCTCCCAACTGCGGCTCCGAGGTACCGAATACCTACCTACATTCCTATCGAGCTATGTATGTACGAGGTAATCGGTACGGTGTCAAGATCCCAGCTCGATCGGCAGGATTCAAAACTTGCAGACTTGCTCTCTCTCTCACATTCTCTCGCTTCGATCCCCTCCTTCCCCATTCCTTCGCCTCATCCCCACCATACTACTGAGCACCTATGTATGTACCTACCTTTCCCCTCGGGCACATGGCGGACGAGTGTGCCAGGCAGGTAGGCTGGCTATGCGCGGTTCATGGGCGGATAGATATGTAGGTGGGTGTGAATGAGCAGCGCGGCATGTGCAGGGAAGCGAGCGAGCGAGCTACCTACCTCAAGAAAAGTACGTCCAGAACCCCTCAGTGGCATCGCCTGGTAAAAAAAAAGAGTAGTGCCCGATTTGGAGACTGTGAGGAACACGTATGTCTGCAAAGAGGAAGAGTGCACTGACTGCTTTCTCACTCGAGATTGACTGTACAAGTACAAGTACAGCACCTACATCGAATGAGGGTGATATGGCGTGGCTTGGCGTGGCGTGGTGTAATGCCAGCCATCCACTATTCACCACCCATCAATCCACACTGCGTAGGTCCTTTCGCGCAGGCTCACGCGTCAAACCGCATGAGGTATGCCTCGAAATGAAGAACGAGCGGAACCGCGAAACAGGCGACAGGACGGGCTCGTGCCGAAGGACAAGAGGAAAGAGGGGAATGGAGATCGATCGATATTCACCTAGTGATGCCGGAAGCAGGACTCGTGGATCGTAGATTCTTAGGCATCGACGCAGCCAGTCTGGCGGTCCAAGTATCTTCCGTGCAGCTGTAAACGCAGAATGACATGGTTGGCAGAGACTTTTGCTCGAACCGAACACAAGGCCTCATGAATATTAATCGGGGCATCTTGGCCAGCATGAAGTGCAGAGACTCGTCCCAATCCACATTGCTGCTGGGTTGCGCTGTCGACATCAGGGTGCGGGGTGCCATGAATCGGATCAATCAAAGAGATCACTTTTAACCATCGTCGCAGGGTGCGCAAGGCCATGCAGGTTTAAACCTTTGGCCGTCAGCAGCGTACCAGGCAGCAACTCCAGGCTTTCTGGGGGTTTGGGGATATTTCGGGACCAGGGTCATACCGAGTACCTCGTAACTGTGCGATTGATCGAATTTCCTCATACCGCCTCGCTCAAATCCCGCAAAGCCGCGCGCGCAGAGGACGAATTCAGTCATGATCCAGGGGGGGACGGCTGGCCATGGAACAGATGATCTTGCTTCTCTCTTCTTGCTCCCCTTCTCTCTGTTCTTGTTTTTGGAATTCTTCCTGTTTGTGTCCTAGAAGCGACAAGCCGAGAGCCACCGCCTGGATGGCCGCCTAACCATAAAAGGGAACAGCAAGGCATCCTGGTCTTCCGTCGAGCTTCTGGGCGCCTTTCTGAAAACGATCTACTTACTCAAGTTGGGGTTGCTTACCTACTGTATAAGGTAAGCGACCTGTAGCTTCACCAGCTGGGTGCCAGGGGGGGATTTCCGTACCTGTGTCCTAACATGACTCTCCCCAAGTTACCGAGTACACCGAGGACATCTTATTACCCAGTCTTTCGGAGATTAGGCAAGGGTGGTGCCTAGGGTAGATGAAGCAACATGCTTCTAGTCCTTGGTAAGCCCATTCATCTGGATGTGGAAAGGGTAGCAAACACGCCTCGCGCCGGTTCAAACCCAATGTTTCTGGGACAATGCACTTCCTCTCGAGCAATGACCATGTCTTGCCAAGGTATAGATGCGGTACTGTAGTCGTAGCTGCACAAACCCAAGACGGATCAGGAATCCCTTCTATGCTTCGTGGTAAATCGCTTCGTAACCGAGTCTGGACCTTCAAGGCCCGTTCCATACAATCTGGAACAATACCGAACACAGAACCTGTCACTGCGCCCAAGGGTAGGGCACTCCCGGCACACGCTGTGGGGAGACCAGAAATAGCAAAAGGGAAGCCTCTTGCGATACAACTTGTAAGCAGGTGATAAGCTGAGATTCTTATTTGCATTCGACCCGCGGGTCCTTGAAGGTCAGTCCACACGAGACGTAGCGTCTGCCGTATCGCTGCAAACAGGGACTTTTCGCACAATACTGAATACACAGATCTAGACTCTTTGCCGTTGGGGTAGCAAACGGTGCCGTCTTCAGACAACGAGCCTTTGCCTGTGTTGATCAGCGTGTGCATGCTTCAGGCCCTCCTACCCGAATTTGGAATTTCCCCAGTCATTCGTGGTTGGTTGGTTGCATCGCTACTCGACGCTGCGAGGAGCGAGACGCTGCAGAACCACGTCGTCTTTCGCCGGCTTCGAATCATCCGCTGCTTTCCGATTTCCAAATTCCGATCTGTATGACTGATCCATTATCAAAGCAGGATGTTAGTATGGGGAGGTATGCGCCTGTCGAGCTTTTGGATGACACCCATGCCTGTAGGATTCTAATGGAATGTTTGCCAGTACGCGAGAGATACCGCTCGACACATGGTGTATTCGCTTCGAGGCAACGTGGTGGTGGTGTGAGAGTTGTCACAAAACTGAACAGAGGATCCTGTGTCGCCGCATCCTCCAGTGGCCTGAGCATTCACTGTCTTGCTGGCAGTGGCCTTCTTGAGGCCGGAGTCATCCTCGCCCTCTTCAATCAGCAATCCCTTCAGGAAGTTACCCAATCCCTCAAAGGAGGAATGAAGATTGACATGGACGAGCTGAACAATTGCTGGACGCCTCCACGAATACATGGCCAATACATGGCCGCTTGAGCTGACGGCCTCCGTTTGGAATTTCCTGGCAATTCTTCGGGATACCATCAGACAATATCGACCCAGGCTTCCTTGCATTTGACAGAAGGATTATTGTCCAAGTGTGGAGACAAGAACCGAAGATATACCTTGGGACCCCACGGGCAAAATTGTCCGAAGGAATCGAGAGTCCAAGATTAGGAGGATCTATAGCTCAGCCTTGTACACCGGCTGTAGCCCTTTCCGATGTCAGGTGGCAGTGACAGATGGATTCAGGCTCAGGACAAGCATGGCAGTGCATTTTGTAACAATCTCAGGTATAGTCCGGTCTCGCCTGAGGTTGTGTCGAGGTCAGTATGTATGGTAACTGTTCCAAACACTGGGAGCTTGAGAGTCGGTTTGCTCATGTCTTTTGGTGAACTGACAGACGATTTTCTCAGCAATGCCTCTTCGCCTGTTGACGTGCGCGCCAGCTGAAGCATTCAGGGTCAGAGCCATCAGACATTCGACTACCTCAGTTTTGGATGATCAGGATGAACTTTGCAACAGGCTCGACCCAATGTCCGATGAAGTACCAACATCCCAACTCCGGCATATAGCTGGTGCGGCTCCCAGAAAATGTTCAACTTCTAATTTGCCAATCTCCTACCTGCTTATCACCAAAAAAGATGCATACTCTCGTGAGCATCTTCAAATCACCGTAAAGGACCTCCTCTGCTCAACCTCACGCTGTTCCTGGAAGACGTCAGGGCCTTGGACATTGATGGCCCCTCCGCATGAGACACAGAGTTGGAGCGCAACAAAAGACATTGGATAATGGATTCTCCACGCGAAGTTGAAGTAGCACTCCACATCCTCTGATCACGACGCCATTGGGATCAAGCAACCACGATGAATCAGCCGCATGAATGTTGCTGGCATATGGCGTTAGGGCGATCGAGGAACTTCTTCCAGACAAAGCCGATGGTGAATGCTTGCCTGATCGGTTGTACCGAATTCGTCAAGTGTGCCTACCAGATGAGGAAGCAAGTCGCTCTGCAGCTTGGTGAGGGAGCGATATATCTTCACCTAAGCACTCCAACATGTCGCAGAGATTGTCAACCTCAAGTCAGGATTCGCTGTATCTCACCGACACAACCACGCTGTTGCTGACCTGGTACGGTTGCAAGGCTGACAAGAAACGATTCTGCGCGCTCATGACGCTGGAACAGCTAACGTTGGACAGCATGCCGTCTCGACCAGGCAGCGGCGGGCAGCCATTGCATTCAGCGGGGGTCGGTGTCATTTTCCTTTCCGGTGCGTCATGCATGCATCGAAAGCCACCAGCACCCATGCTTTCGAGGCCTCGCGCCGTCTAACCGGGACCTTGACACCTGCGATGTTTGTGCCTAAAATTCTCGGACTGGTGACACTCGCCCCTGTCGTACCTCGGAGCAGGTACACTGATGAGATAATATCTGCATCCATCCTCATGTAGTTAAGCGGCACCTGCTCAAGCTCTCTGAGCAGTCAAGCATTGACTAGACGGGCCTCAAAAGGTCAGCAATTACGTGACCAGTAAGTGTTGCAAAATTCCAAATGCTCTGCCAGCAAGTTCTCACTCAAGGCTGCGTGGGCAAACGTCCATACCGAAATATTATCATCAGATTTCGCCCGGTTTTACGGCATCACCACCGCTTTCCGCATTTGAGGATTGCAATGCAGGGTCCAGGACAACGACGTATACCCGGTGTTATGCCCTAAAATGGGTTCTGGTGACTGAGCGGACTTACATCGAGTAGGGCAGCCCTGCTAACATCACTGGCGGTTGTCGGCTTGTTTCTGTCGCTCTAAACCCTCTGCCTATTCTTGCCGTTACTAGCATGGGCGAATGTGGTGCAGAGTATCCCTAGTGGAAGACTTCACACGTGCTAGCCTGGACCATTTGATCTCTAACCTGTCACTCCGGCTTCAACTGAGCTAGCTATGCACGGCAGCCCTACATCCAGGGCTTTGGCCTCGGAATGGTTGGAGCAGGAAAACGTCATGGACCTGGTAGTTGGCTGGGGTGACCCCTGATGCAGGACTGGGCACACGGTTTGACCGTGAGATCGAACGATGAACAGCCAGTTCTGTGATTGTGGTTGTTCTCCACGAAGTTGCGGCCTGCCGGATTTGGGTAAAGCCGCAGCCACGGATCCATCAAGACATTGATCATTGTTCGGCCGAAAATTATGTACGAGTCTTTCGAGGAAGATGTTCTTTTTTCAGTCAGATTCCTGGAGGTCCTGAATCAATTGAGAAACTTCAAATACTTTGGTAGTCAATGCCGCTAACATGACTATCGTATTGAGCGTGTTTCGCGCTGCGGGTGTAATAGTGGCGCGTTGAGCCAGAAGTAGGGCGTGGGTCGTCCCTTGAGGGATGCCGATTCGGAAAACTTCATCTCGTCGCCTCTCATTCCGAGGAGCTTACACCCTCAACCCATGTCGCTGAGTATCTCTGTAGGCAGTCCGCAGCAGATGGTAGACCCGATTGGCACCGGCTACCCAGGTTCATGACTAGACGTGCATGCCACGCAGAGGGGAAATCGCAGGTACCTACCTACACATTACCCAAGTGCGTCAATGGACTGACTTCCCGTCAGAGGAGAGGTGACTCCACAAGAGCAGCTCGAAATCCCAGCGGCCAAGGGTGACACTGGGATGATCGACCACGGGAGCTAGCTGGGACCTCCGGAAGGAGCTGCGGCTGCAGCATCGTCATGCAGTAGTGTGGATTTCCTAGCTTTTCAAGGAGCAGCAACTGGGGTAGGCTGGATTGATCTGTGCATTGGACAATTGTCCGCAATTGGTAAACCAGGTGGTAAGCATGACAAGATGATGACGACTGGCGTTCGCAGAGGGTCAACGTCCAGCGAGATCGGGGGAGGCAGGACCGAGGTAGGGCTGGCGAGCAGGGGACGAGGAGTGCCATCACTGGCGGAACGACGGAGCGACGGGCGAGGCAAGGGTGGTGAAGATAAAATGGTGATTAGGTACGAGTCGATGAGAATGAGCAAAGTCACGAATACCGAGTATCTGATTGTAACGCACAGTGCCAAGGCGCCAAGATTGTGTATCGGTACAGTATGTAATGACAAGACCACCAAAACCGTGTCATGACAATACCATACGGCCGAATGTATCGATGCGAGCCTCATACTAGACGCCCTGCAGCCTTGCGACCTGATTTCGATTTCGGGTACTGAGATCAAATTGCCATTGCCACATGGCCAAGAAAACGACTGGAAGCCTCATCGCGTACCGCTCGCATCCGTGGGTCAACCTTGTCAACACCCCCCCTGCTCCTTGGCCGACTCCTTCGCAAAAGGCGAACATTGCTGATCCTGGAGATGGCTGTCGGGCTTTCGGGGACCAGTGTGGATAAGCATGACAAGAGATGGATTATTCCCATTGGACGGCCGGCGACCTATATCCCAAAAGATCCAAGAGCACACGGCCCGCTTACGGAAGGATTGAGTCAGCCTGGGACTTGTTTGAAGCTCTACCAAGGAGGAACAAGGACGAGTACGAGCAGCGCGGCGTGGACCAGCGGCCGTCGCTTCACGCTCCAACTCCACCTCCACCTCCTCTTTCGGGGTTGAGGCCCAGGTGACCAGGCGAAAACAGGACGCTGGTGGGCAAAGCAGCGTTGGCCTGAAATGGATGTAAGGCGCGCACCCGATCGGTTTCCGTGATCCATGCGGCCGCCGATTGGGTTATTTCAGGTCGCTGCCGTGGGAAATCGCCAGGCATGGTAGTGCAGTCCATTGAAATTGCTCTTGCGCCTTTCTTGACGATGCTGACATAGCAGGCGTTCTCGGCGAGACGGAACTCTGTACTATGTGCTTGGAAGATCGTGGCACACCTATGGCAGAGGCCGTTGGGAAACCCTGAAGAGGAAACTTCAGGAAAGTTCATATAGGGTATACGAGAACTCTCCCTCGTAGGGTTGACACCGAACAATGGGCGATAGGATGATGAGATGGGCCTTTCCAGGATTCAACCATCTACGGAGATCCTCCTGCGCTGACAACCCTCCTCGTTACGAGCTCAGTGCCACCATACATAGATTTCTAGATGGGGCCAGGAGCCTTGGACCCAGAAAGTCGGCAATAAGAATGGCTTCGATCTTGAAACAGCAATGGCTGGAAGAATCAACCTTCATATTTAGCTTGTCAGTCTGGCTTTCTACCCTCCTAAATGTGGAATGCCCTGAAATGGAAGCCCTCTCATAGAGGCACAGCGGCTCGGTTACAATGGAAATTGATGCTTCCGTTGTGTCAACGGCGTGTCACGTCTGTGGGCCATGGCCGTTGCCCCTGCCAGCTGGACCTTTCTCCACATGACGTTTCACGGATCGGTAGATTGGCGATGATCAGGAGAGATGATATCGAGCGATGATCATGTCGATAAACAGCCACACAGCATCCGTGCCAAGCCAGTGACTAACATCGACTGTGGTTGTGTAACGCTCTCTCGAAGACGAATCTGTACTCTGCAGAATAGATACGCCCTGATTCCATTCATGTTCCTCAAGTCACAGATCCACATGTCATACTCCATCACTGGGTCTGGGATTGACCATATTGCCACCAAGTCTGAGGCTGGGCAGGCCTGAAAGGCTCTGGGGCTCTGGGGCTCTCAGTTCTTGTTCCGTAGCTCGCTGGCAGAGAAATGTGTCACTCATGCCTGCCATTCGGGACAGAGCCTAAGCGCATAAGTGATCTCCGGATCCAGTCGGCGGTATTCATCCGCGGGGTGTGGCTGTCATCGTTTGAAAGATCTTGGTTCCAGGAGGGCTCGAGGCTCGAGGATCGAGGATCGACCTCACTAGCGACGAGTGCTGGATAGATTTCAACCCCCGAAGGTGAATGGCGGGGCGACGAAATTACCCAGGTCATGCTCCTGCAACGTGTAAGCTGTTGAAAGTAAACTGGGTAGGCCAAAGGCTTGGGTTACCTTGATGTAATCACTTCCTTTCTCCATATACTCAGCATGTGTGACGGTGGCCGACTCACGGTCGATTCCATCAGAACTACTCCACCAAGAAGCTGCCCCTTTCCAGGCGTCGAGGATCGGGTCATCCGCCTTGCGGACATTGATTGTAAAATCACATGGGAGTGCCGCAATCAGTTCTTTCCTGAGGCGTTCCTCGAATGTGGGAAACATGGTGTTTCCGCCCGTCAGAAAGACATCCTTCAGGAGCGCCTGTTGTTGATCAAAGTTCGAAAACCGACTCATGATGACACCTTCAATAATTTCAACGAGACCGGCTTGATCAACTCCAGCAATCGCCGGCTGGAACACCACCTCAGGAACCCTGATACGTTCGACGTTGAGATGAATCTGGTTTGCCTCTCGTTGGCTTTCCGGATCCGCTGGTCTCGCTCCTCGCAAGAAAGCGTGCAAAACACTCTTGGTCCAGTCGTTCTGCGCTTCAATTGTGTCCTTTTCCGAGAATTCTGGGTCAAATTGTAGAAGTTCGCTCTCGAGCGCCTTCAAAGCGGTGAGCGGATCTTCCTCAGGCTCCTCGTCGTCGCTGGCAGGTTCAGTGGCCACAGTACGGTAAACGCCCCAGTCGTCGTCGTTGGCTCCGAAGTCATCGTCGTAATCGCCTCCGCCCCTGCGCTTTCGCTTTGGTCCATCTGAAGCGAGGTTTGCCAACGTCTTCATCCGCATTTGCGAAGCGATGCCCTTGCGATTGCTTGAGTCCGCCTTCTGCCTTGCCTGCTCTTTGATTTTGGCCAGTAATGCATGGCGTTGTTGCCGACGACCCGCAAGCCAGTCATCGAAGTGATTTTCACGCAACTCGCGGTCCTTGCGTTCTTCTTCTGCCACGCGCGCCCGCTCACGTTCCTTTTCCGCTTTGGCCCTTATTCTTGCCTCCACCCCTGACTTCATCAGCCTCTGATGCCGCTTCTCCTTGATACTGTCCTCATCCAGCTGATCATCCGGGACATCAAGAAGAGGAAATCTGTTTAGTTGCTCTTCGAGGTTTTCCTCTTCCTCCGGAGCTCCCAGCTCTTTGTTTCTGGATTTCTTGATTGATTTATCCAGATCCCGAATGATCCTCTCCAGTGCGGCTTCATCTTTGAGCTCTTCATCGTCTAGTATTCGACGCTGCTCCTTTTTGGTCGGGGCATTCACATAAGAGTCGCGCAGTTTCTGATAGTACTCCAACTGTTGCTCTTTTTTAATGAGTTTTTCTAGCCGCATTTTGGCAGCTTGTTCCTGGAGCCGTCGACCAGATTCTTTTTTGCGTTCGGCTATTCTGGCGAGCTCCTCGGCGGATTTCTCGACAACGACCTGTTCCGTGAAAGGATACTGGATTACAATATCTCGCTTTTCTTCCAGGCCAGTCCAGTCTAGATAGGTGGACAGTTCGGTAGGGTAGTCGGTTGAGAGGTAGCAATATTGCTTGATGTACGACTCCATCTGCTCCAGAGTCAACTTCCCAGGAAATGTCGGGTACTTCAACCGGATGAGCTTCAGGAGGTACTCCTGAGCCTGGGAGCCGCCCCAATTCAGCCTCGTGCACATTTGCATCTGAGGCTTCTGATTCAACACTGGAATGATGTGGGTCGACGTATGAGATGAAGACACGATAAGCCCGGATTGACCCTTGTTCTGGCGATAGGAAAAGAGGCTGTCGATTCCGTAGGTGACACTTGGGGCATTGTAGCATTCAAACAACATTTCATTCATCATTCTTCTGCTGTGGCCCAGATTTGCGACAGGCTCCGTGACAACCAGCGGTCTACCCACAGAGCCTTCCCCGTCCACCCCCAATTTGAGGAAGATGTAGTCGTAGACCCCTTCTAAGATATCCCAATTCGTCGGAATGCTAGTATTTTGCTCGAACGCCGTCCTGATCTGGCCACGAGTCGTGGCATCGGCGTAGGCGTCGTAACCGACAAAGGCGCAGTACTTGTTGAACTTTCGATCTTTGAATTTTGCCATGATCGGGGGTACGAGGAATCGAGGGCTCTTGTCGAAAGAGAAACCAGCCTTAATGGTGCTGGCTCCTGTACCAACACATCTTAGCTGCCCGATGCTTCAACGGCTGTAGGTGTGTTGACTTACCATTGTCTATGACTATTGCGCTTTCCGAAGGAGTAGCCGCGCTCTGTTGATAGCCATCTGGCTTTGGAGGCTGCCATCCTTTGAAAGGGAAGTCCGGAGCGGCATAGACTCGTGGGCTCGACTGCGGTTGTGCATCTGGGGGCGGCGTAGGAAAGCGACGCTCTGTCGCGAGGCGAGTGATGGATGTGATTGTCATTTTGTGGTATTCATCCTCGTCTGTGTGAGGACAGAGTGCGGCCGCTGACTGTGCTTGCGCTTCACGGCAGGCTGTTTTCTGTACCTTTGAAATGTGAATGAGCGCACACAAGTCAAGGAGACGGGTTCAAGCAAGGATTAAATTCATGTTGGAGAGCGCGTCACGCTGCGGAGAAATTCTGCAGGGGCATCGCGGCAGCGCAGCCCGCGTTTGGCGGAGGGACATTTATGGGCGCCATCGAACAATTATGGACTGCTAGATAATGACTCGACGTGATTCCTTGGGTGAATTCACTGCTATGATTGACATATGGACGCATCAAAAACATCTAATATACAGACCGGGATTTAGATGCTGGAATCTGACCACCAGTGGTGGCTTGTACTCGATCTCCCCCCTGTTCCAAGGCACTGAGTCCGCCAAAGCAACTCATTGTGCTTGATGCCGTGATGCTGATCAATACTTGCTAGTGCCATCATGCGCCAGAGATCATAAAGTGCCTCGATGCACTTCAGTTCCAATCCACGTTGCTCCATCGGGAATTCTTCCAACTGCATTGTCGGGACTTTCCAATACTGTGTCTGTGCTATGCAACAAGCCGATGGGGGTACCTTTGACCTCTCTAGTTGTAGTGTCGTCAACCCTGTATCACTCTTTTGGCGACCGATCCCGCAGTGGCTCATCTCACAGGGGATCCTTTAGGTTGTCCGTTGCTGGGAAGAGTGTCACTCCAGCAAACTCTTCATCTCGCGTCAGAAGCTCTTACCTTCAAGATGAAATAGAACGTTTGATTGATAGTTCTTGAACATTTGTGCCACCAATTCAACATTCATATTCTGAACATTGACATCCTGTAATCCGTTCTCAGGATCGAGTTTCATCTTCGTTACCTGGGGTGCGGTACCTGCAGATTTCTATTCATCATCATCACAGCTTCATTCAGTTTTTCCTAAACACAGCCATCAACCTCGATCCTTTAGACAAGTCAGGCAACGGCATACGATGTTCGTTATGATCCTGGACAACAGGAGGCTTTGTTGCTGCTCGTGCGGACTCTCCTGAGATATGACATTAGCATGTATTGCAAGTAAACATTGTTGGGAACGCACCATCTTGGTAATTTGGTACCGACGACGTTCCCCAGACAATCCACGGTCACAATATCTTCGAGTGATTGAAAAGGACCCACGACGCGATCAGTTCGCGATGGTGCCGTGGTCACCCAGATTTGGACGAGTATGATGCTGCCTTGTACTAGTAAATTCTGGTGGGGCTAGATGACCAAATCTAGTGGTGGGTGTGGGAATCGACCTGGCTGATCCAAAAGCGGCGCTATTGCCAGATTATTTGGAACCAGCCTCCGCATTGCGGTCGCTGCTTTTGAAGCTAAACCGTACTGGCAGTTTCTACGAGGGACAAAAGAACTCTACAAGACACGCGGCCACCTGCGGTTATACGCTGGTCATTCTCCTGCACTTCAGGCTTCATTCGATTACCAAGGGAGATACCTCGGAATATCACATGATCATCCCGAGGTCTCGCTGATTAATGCCGGGCATGGCATTACGCAAATCCCTGCCACCAATGCCCATACCCGCCACCACCACCATTCCAAATCCCCTATTACAGCCCTCCGAACTCTGTCCAGATTGGGCTTGGGTTGAGCTCCTCCACTAATATATTCCCGCGGGGCTTTATTTAAACTCAAACGTGGATGAGTTGAAGCGTGCTCGGTATACAGACTCAGTTAAACAGCATCATATCCAGGCTAAGTTGGACAGAAATATTTTCAATCCGGCAAGAGTAACTCTCACAGCAGGTTCCTCATTTCAAGTTGTCCCCAGCCAAGATGCCGACATGCAAAAGAGTTTTGATATTTGGAGCAACCGGGCTTATTGGAAGTCGCATTACGCGTGAAATCGTGCGAAACAAGCACAAGTTTGAGAAGATTGCTATCTTCACGTCACCAGGTTCCTATGAATCGAAGGCGGACGAACTCAAAAGCTTGGAAAAGGAAGGGGTAGAAATCTTCGTAGGCGATTTAAACAACTCGGCCGACGTGGCCAAAGCCTACCAAGGTGAGATCCTCAAATGTACTTCCATCATTGCTCTAACATGGCGCTCGACAGACATTGATACTGTGGTTTCGTGCCTCGGCAGAAATGTGCTTGAACGTCAACTCGAACTGATTAAGCTTGCCAACGACAGTCCTTCGGTCCACCGGTTTTTCCCATCCGAATATGGAACCGATATCGAGTATGGGCCGTCTTCTGCCCACGAAAAACCACATCAATTGAAGTTGCGGGTTAGAAAAGCGTTGCAGGCTTGTGACAACCTGGACTACACCTATGTGGTCGTCGGGCCATACGCCGATGGAGACCCCGGCCTCTATTTGAGCGTAAATCCCATTACCAAGGAAGCTGGAACGTTCGACGTTAAGAACAAAGAAGCTGTATTGTTCGGGGATGGGAATCTCAAGATCAGCTTCACCACTATGAAAGAGTAAGTGCCACCCTCTCCACTTCTTGGACATATCACCAATAGACTTCCCCAGCACTGGCAAACTCGTGGCTCTTGCTCTCCTCCACCCGGAAGCAAGCCGGAACAAGGCACTACGAGTCAACTCTTTTACGGCCACCGACTCGGAAATTCTCAAAGAGTTTGAAAAGCAAACGGGTGGAGAGCCGTGGAAAGTGTCCTACACTAGCCTTGATGATTTGAAGAAGCTCGAGCAGGAAGCTTGGGATGCTGGAAAGCCGTGGGCCGCCCTCTTCACCCTGAGGAGAATTTGGGCCGAAGGAGGCACCCTGTACGACAAGCGAGACAATTACCTGATCGAGGCAGAGGACGTGATGGAGACTCTGGCAGATGCTGTTGCCGAAGCCATCAGAGTTCAAACGCGTTGAGATATTTTGAGGAAGAGGCGTATCTTTGCGAAGCGGTCGGATCAATGGAGATATGCTCCTTTCGGAGGAACCACTCTGTAGGTATTCTTCAACTCAAACACACCAAAATATTGCCTGAGAGTTTTCACAAAATCTATTGAACTGTCCTCCAGACTGGTCGTGATGAGGACGACACGATGAATGACCTGTGCACATCATCGCCGCATTGGTACAGCACCATATTGCCGCCCCACCCATATATTGTCGGAGGTGCATATATGCTTGCGACTAGCATCACGATCGGCACAGCCGAGATCTAATGGTCGCCTTGACTTACCGATAGTGGCATCGCCGGGTAGCACCAAACAGGGAACCAAGTACGGAGAAAAGGCATCATAGTACATGTTACAGGTGTGGTTTCGTGCATCTGGACATGGTGCGGTGCGCACTGGGCTGAGGTGCGTTTCTTACAAAATGTGGTGAGTTCGTAGCCGTGTGTCCCAGGTGCGTTCTGAAAGCTCAATTGAGATTACTCGAAAATTGCATTGGATTCGCGTCCTTCAACTCGCCGCTCATCTGTGTGTAATATGGGTCAAGAGGCATCAAAGCCTGATCCCAATGCAAGGCTCCAGGTGATTGGCTGCGGCATGTATGTCTCGTACTCTCTACAACCCTTTGGCCCTGTGGCGCTTCTGGGACTTCCCGAACCCTATGGTTTTCCTTCCTGATACAGCTGCGCAATTACTTACCACCGATCAGGTCCCGTACTGGAACAGCATCCTTCAGTCGGGCGTTGGAGATCCTCCTTGGCGGACCGGTATATCATGGTGGAAGTCAACTGGTGGGCGCGGGGGAAGACCACATACGCGCCTGGATTCACCTGTGCAAGCATACACCCATCGAAACCGAGTCGGACCAAAAAGTGGTTCTCCATGGACTCAAGAACTTGTTGTCCGGGTACACGGCCGTCACAGACATGCCGCCCATCCTCTTCACCGAAGAACTGGTAGAGCTGTTTCCGGACGCCAAGTTCATCTGCACGACACGGGACCCGGAGAGCTGGTGGAAGAGCATGGAACGAATCGCGGCAAAGACAGACACTGAGGCGGATCGGAACGAGAGGGTGCTCGCTTTCCTGCTTGCGCTGCTGCCGACTATGAGATATTGGAAGGCCTTCTCCGACGCCCTCAGGTACGGCCGGTTCGGCGAGCTGTTCTATCGGTCCGGGCACCATCATCCCCACCCAGGACAATACAACGAGCATATGGAGTACGTGAAAAGAGTTGTCCCCCCCGAGCGCCTCTGGTTCTACGACGTCAAGGAGGGATGGGAGCCGTTGTGCAAGATTCTCGACTGTGACGTGCCCAACGTACCATTTCCACGTGTCAACGACGCAGAAGCAACCGACAGAATCATCCAGACCCAGGTCCAACGAGGTATACTTGCGTGGACGGGTGCCAGCGCGGCTGTTGCAGTGATGGGCTTCGGCATGTGGCGAATGTGGTTGGCGCGATAGAGGGGTTGTTCTGATGTTTTGTCTGTACAAGTAGCTATGTACCTCAAGGTAGTTTAAGCTTGTGAAAGGCGTCTTCGGATCTTCTCCTGGTTCTGGAGCGCAGTTCAAGATCTGTAAAAAGAAGACAAAAAACAACAAACAAGAAAGTCCCTTTTTTGAGGTGGCAGATCGACAGCAAATTCCCGAGTCTCGTACGCGGAACGCGATCCCTGTTCCCCGTCTCGCCGTCTGCGTCTGCGTCTACGGCTCTCCAAACCTTGTCCGAGATCCCGCATCTACATACCTCGTACATTCTTCATTTTCCTGGAAAAGAGAGACAAGACTGTAACACTGCTCATGGAAAATTAGCAGTCGGTGAACAAAATACGGAATCATCTCACGCCGTGAAACCATCCTCGAACTCCTCCAGCGACAATGCCTCCATCCACCCCACAGCCCCAAGATGATTCCCACCAGCAACTCCTCGATCAAATGGATATTTACTACACGCCCAAGCCCTTCCGCAATGCGCACTGGAAGCCCGGCACGCGACGAAACAAGAACACCAAGCAGATCATCTCCGAGTCGCAACGAAAAGAAGCCTCCGTGCTCGCCACCCAGAACAACTCGGGCGCCTCGACACCTCTCCCGGCCACGGGCGCGAATTCAGATGGCGCATCTACACCTGCCTACCCACCTTCTTCAGCGGCGAAGCCCCTCAACATGGCCCAGGCGACACAGAGCTTGAGCACCCTGGTACTGGAAAGGAATCTGCAGAGGGAGAGAGCGTCAAATATCACACTTCTGGGAGCTGGTGGCATGATGGGAGGGCCAGCCGTCACCTACACCAACATTGAGAGCGCTCCGAGTCTACATCCCGCAAATCACAAGCATTACTGTGACATTACTGGCCTGCCGGCCAAATATACAGATCCCAAGACAAAGCTGAGATACTACGACGGGGAGATCTTCGCGGTGGTGAGGAGTCTGCCGCAGGGCGCACCAGACCAATATCTTGCGGCCAGAGGAGCGAATGTCGTCCTCAAGTGAAATTGCTTGCCAGAAAAGAGACAGGAAACAGCTTCTGCCAAACATATCAAGTGGGCGTCTGGCTCAATGAAAAGGCGGAACCATAAGTCGTATCTGTCAGGCCATCCTAGTCAAGCCCATCCTACCCGCCGCATATCTCTCGATACACGGTTCAAGGATGCGCTCCGGCTTAATTGTGGACTGTGTATAACGGTCGCTCTTCGCCATATTGACACGATACCGAAACCTCATCGACGAAGCAGGATCAGTTACAGCAATATTGAAGAGCTGTGGTCATGGCGGGATGCGGTGCACATAAGGTCACACATTCGGTCAAAAAGTTATTGATCAACGCGACCTGCAAACCATTCTCGACAAAGGGCGTGCGTTACCATGCTAGGCCACTGGATGGCGCTGGAGCCAAAGCTTTATAACATGAGTTTGGGAGACATCCACAAGGAGGACGGTGGACTGAAGGGTGCGAATCCAAGAAACCAGGTGGCAATGGCGGCTTAATACTGGCACGACACGGGGACCACGCATTCTCAGATATCTCACCAACGCATTTGTTAGGCCCAGATAGATAGTAGATGTGTGACGACAGCGAGATTTTTAGGATCCTTCTGTGTGATGAACAAGGAAAGAAATTCTCAAAGCACCGTTTGGACTTAGTTGTCATCTCCAACTCTCTCCACTCCGACCCTGGGCTGACCCGCCTTAACGGCGACCCAGATTGCGGAGTTCGCGATATTTCGAGCCTCTTGCTGCTCTGACTATCGACTGTCGATGAACTTGGCTCCTATCTGTTCTGTGGTCAGTTGTTACCAATACCGCAAAGCTGGAGATGTTTCAGGTATGTCCGCCAACTGGACGATGTGAACTCTGGAGTCTGACCGCATCAATAGCGTCTCAAGGGCGTCATAGACAGCCATATTGCGGAAGAGCAAGCGCGACAACGGCAGGCTGCTAACAGCGCTCAAACGACGAGGGCTCCGCAGAAACGGCGCCCGCAGGCTCAGAATGGCAGCCGCCAGCGCGCCAGCTCTAGGCTGAGAGAACAGCAGAAAAACGACTCGACCGACAAAGGCCCCGATCCCTCAGAGTTTGAACCGGAGTTCGCGATCGGAGACGATGAGAGCGCGGTTCCCAGCAGGGCCGCCACTCCAAAGCCTGAGGGAAATGACAAGGAGAAAGATACGGCGGCTTCCGAGGATGGACTGGACACACAAACCCTCGTGGGGTCCGTTGACAGCAAAGTGTCAGATGCCAATGGCACCGCCGCTACCTCCTTACGTCCTCAAGACCTCCCTACTGAGGTGCGGGTAAAGCTACGCAGGCTGGATCGGATGGAGTCAAAATACGCAGAATTGTTGAAGGCTTACAGAACAGCCCATGGACGGATACAAGCCGTCGATTCTTTCGAAGCCTCACTGCGCGAGAACACCCCCTTGACGAGTATCAACGACCCCGGCGCTTTGGTCGAGTATCTGAATCAGATTAACTTGAAGAGCGACATGGTCGTGGATGAGTTGAAACGAGTCACATCTGACAGGGACGATTACAAGAAGAAATTCCAGGCTGCAGAGGAAGAATCCAAGGGACTGCAAGAGGAAGTCAACACGCTGAAGAACAAGGTCGAGACGCTGTCTCAACAAAAGACATCTGAGCTTGAGAAGAACTTTTCTATAGGTAGTCCGCACATTATTACAACTGGCGACAACTCGTCCCTGAAGGAGGTGGCGGATTCAGAAAACACTGCCAAATCACCTTCGAGTACCACTTCCCGGATTGCGAGCTTCTCGTTATTCTCGCCTCGACACAAGGCAATGTCTCCACCAAAGGAAACCTCGGAAGAATTCTTCTCGTTCGAATCCGAACAATCCAAGATGGAAGCCGAGTTACATGAGAGTCAAGCAGAGGTCGAAAGCCTCAAGAAACAAGTCGCCGGTTTACAAGGAGATCTAAAGGTTGCTCGCGAATCGACCGAAAGCATGGTGGAGAGCCTAGAGACTGCCACTCGGGAGCTACACAGTCTTCGTGATGCGAAGGACAAGTTTGACGAGATTAAGAATGAGCTGCAGAATCGTGTCACCGAGTTAGAGGCAAGGGCTGCCTCGAATACCACAAGGACAGATGAGTTACAAAAGGAGATTGACGAACTGCAGGCAGGAAGGCTTGAGGCCGCCTCGCAGGCGCAATCCCTAGAGAGCCAAATCAGAGAGCTTGAAGCGAAAAATGCCAAACTTGAAGAACAGATCGTTTCCAGAACCAAGGATACGGAATTGCTCAACGAAAAGCTGTCGCAGAAAGACTCTATCGTCAAGGACCTCGAAGATACACTTGCAATGTACAAGTCTGCAGAGAGACAGGAGGCAGCAAAGAGCCAAGATAACATATCAAACGAGAAGAAGCTTGCGACCGTGCAAGGTGTCATGGATACTCTGCGCAGTCAACTGGACAAAGCTGAAGCAACAGTGACTGAACTGAAGGCCGAGATCCAAGCTACCAAGGACGAGTATTCGCAACGACCTTCCACCAAAGTACTTGGTTTCCTTGATGCGGAGACGAAATCTACACTTGACACCTTGCGGACGCGCGAAGATGTTGTCCAGTACCTGTCGGAGAATTTCGGTTTGCAAAGGGCTTCCTCTAACAAGGTCCCTACAGAAACAGCCACGGCTTCTCCAGCACCATCAGAAGCGGGCACAGGTGCATCCAAGAAGAAGAACAAGAAAAAGAAAAAGGGCAAAGGTCAGCCGCAGACCGCTACAGACGAAGCAGCAGAAAGTGCAACCCCAGTCAAAGTGTCTGAAAATCTGGCTGAAGTAGATGATGTCGAGGCGCGCGTAGATGTTTCCAAGTTGGAACAGGAGATCTCGGGGCTCAAGGCAGAGCTAGCGTCCAAAGAAGATGCCATTCAGCGGCTTTCCAAACAATTGAAAGACCAAGAAGGGCTGCAAGAAGAGATTGAGACATTGCGAGACGACCTCTTGCATCAAGGGGAAGAACACGTCGAGGCTCGTGATGCATTGAAGGATGCCCAAGCGCAGAAGAACAGCCTCCAAGATGCCGTGGACAAACTGGAAAAGGAGCTGTTGGAAGCTCGAGCCGCCATCGCAAGTGGCGCAGACAAGGAAGAGGCACACAAGCAAATACTTGAGCAATACGACGAACTCAAAGTACGATGCTCCAAGCTGGAGACCGATCTTTCTGCCTCTGAGCAACTCGCAGCTGGCCGATTCAAAGACATCACTGATCTCAAAGAACTACTCGCCAAAGCACAACCTGAATTGCGGAGTCTGCGTAATGAGGTTGCAGAGCTTAAAACCGCAAAGGATGATCTGAAAAACAAGACTGGAGAGTTTAACAGGCTCGAAGCCCGACACGAAGATATCAAAGCCGAGCTTAAGGGACTTGGCAAGAGACTTGGGGACAAAGACAATGAGATCAAAGAACTCCAACAGAAGATTGAGCAGGAGATCAATGCAAGGACCAGGACAGAAAAGGATCTTGACAGAGCGCAGTCCGATCTCCAGACGGCGGAGAGCCGACGTGAACAAGCTGTCAGTCAGTCAGACCAACTTACCAAAGACCTTTTGAAAGCAAAGGAAGAATCAACGACACTCAAGACGAAATTAGCCGATCTCGAGGAGCAAGTTTCAGTTCAGGCGCGTCAAATTTCCGAACTGAAAGACGAAATTTCCCTCAAAACAGCCCTCCACACATCTTCACAAGCCCTAGTCCAATCTCTCCGCGACCAAACTCATGAACTCAACATGCAAGCCCGAGAAGCTACAACCCGGGCCGAGAGCCTCGAAGAAGAGCTCAACGAAACACAGAGAATGCTCTCCGAACGTACGCGCGAAGGACAAACCATGCGTATGCTGCTGGATCAATCTTCAGCCGGGACGGAATCCCGGTTGAGAGAGATGAAGGAACGCATGGACGCGGCCATCGAGGAGAGGGATCGGGTGGAGGATGAGGCGAGCGTCAGTCAGCGACGCATGATGCGCGAGGTCGAGGAGGCGAGGAGCAAAGCCCGTGATGCACAGCGGTCCCTCAAAGCGGTGGAAGATGAGAAGGAAGAGCTAGAGAGTAGGCTGAAGGAGTGGAAGCGGAGGAGAGAAGAACTAGAACAAAGCGCAACGCGGGCGGCGAGGGAGGTTGAGGAAGTGAAAGCTGCAATGACAGTATTGAGGGAGGCCTTGGACGACAGCGAACGGCAGGTCAGGGAACTTGACGCGCAGAAGGCCGAGTTGCGGAGGATAGGTGACGAAGCCAAAGAGAGGGTTGAGAAACTGACAAAGGCCAACAAGAATCTCACCGAGGAACTGAAGGCGGCGCAAGCAAACTCCAGGATTCCGGGCAGACCTAATCTAGGTCGAGTCGATTCGAATGCGCCGAGCTCGAGGACATCCATCGATTCCGCCAGTGCGAGATCCCCGGCCCCCAAAGAACGGATTCTCTCCACGACGACCAGTCGCAGCGAGACCCCGAACACCACGACGGGAGCACCAGCGGGCCTGAGCCAAGGAACCGTCGATTATGTGTACTTGAAGAATGTGCTCCTGCAATTCCTCGAACAGAAGGACAAAGGGCACCAGCGGCAATTGATCCCCGTGCTGGGCATGTTGCTCCATTTTGACCGGTATGTTTGTCTGTGGCATTGTCCCGCTTCCTTTTTGCTCTGAGGGGGTAGAATCTGACCAGTTGTACAGGAAAGACGAACAGAAATGGATCGCAGCCATCTCGACACGGTGACGTCTTGGATCTACAAGAGCACACGGAGCCAAAGGGCTACGGAACGACATGTAATAGTATAAGCGATTTGGAGTTTTTGGATGCCTCCCAAAGTATGAGAGCGAGGTTGACATCGACATCGAGAGGACGGGCCGGGTGCAGCGGGCGTTTCTGGACATTGCAGGCGGAATCAGATAAAAAGGGATCTAGGATCTCATGGTATACACGGTACAGGGAATGCAATGACAATGGGACAATGCTTCGCTGGCACCTCTTGGACACGAGGTATCTTGGACTTGCTTCGAGATCCGAGAGATGGCCCGCCAGAGTCAGAAAATACGTCAATGTCGCTCGCTACTTTATCCCTGGCATTGGAAAACACTTGACTCGTTCTTGATATAGCCAGCCACTCGAGGTCCAAGAATAGAACTTGCCTTGTGCGAGGCTCCTCCAAAAAGGGGTTTCCTTTCCCCCTGCTCCTGTCCAGCCAGTCCTGCCCTTTTTATGCCTTCCGATGCCTCCCCTTGACGCAGTCTCTCTCCTGTGTAATGCACGACGAATCACCTCCTGGTCGAATGGGCTATGATCAAAAACCCCCCGACCGACACTCCCGCATCACTGATTTTGCCCCCAGGTGAAACTTCCTGATCCCGTCGAGGACAATACATATCCATGGGTGATTGAACCTCCCCTTGGATCTCCGAATAAGATTGTTGGTAGGCTATTTCGTATCACCAGCGGCAGCGGCTGTGACGGTGACAGTACCAGTGACAGTATCAGCATCAGTGTCCGTGACACCCTCGGCCGCGACGCGATTAACGCCGTCCAAATCCCGTCCGGACCACCGCGTGTCCCAGAACGTCAGCAGCGCCCACAGTTTGATCAGCGAGTGCGCGTACGCAAAGACGTAGTAGCCCGGGAGGAAGACCAGGTCGGCCGGGTGCCGGAGGAAATGGGGGAGGAGCTTGGGGAGCTTTGAGAGGAGGATCCAGCAGATGAGAAGGAGGAGTCGGAGCTGCGATGTGGTCGGGGAGGAGAATGAGGTCCCGCCCATCAGCGTCCACAACAGTGCAGCGTCGTAGAACAGCGCAAAGTTGACCATCAGGCTGAGCTGGAGCGAGTACACCGACCAGGGCTGGGCGCGGTAGACGACCGCCCCGTCCGTGACCAGCGAGCACATGTTACTGCGAAACGTGGTGCGCGCCCAGCGGAGGCACTGCGCCAGGAACTTTGGATACTCGCCGACGTCGCACAGGACCAGGGCGTCGGGCGTGTTCTGGAACTTGAAGGTGAAGCCGCGCCGGACGACGGCCCGGGTGAGGAAGTTGTCGTCGTCGGCGTTGAGCGGGCCGCACAGCCCCCACAGGAACCGCTCGTCCACGTACTGGGCCAGCAGGGCCTGGTCTTGCAGGATGCTGGTGCGGTAGAGGCACGTCCGGCCGCTGATGACGGCGACGCCGCCGTCGACGGCGTTGGAGCTCGTGTGCTCAAAGTTGTGCCGCTCGAGGTACAACGCCCCCAGCACGTTCCAGAACCTGGCCCACGAGCCCTTGTGGGGGTGGCGGATCGCTCTCTTGTTGGTCCCCACGCCACCGACCCGTGCGTCGGCGTCGAACGGCGCCACCGCCACCCGCAGGATGTGCGGCGAGGGCCAAATCACATGGTCGTCGCAAAGGACCGTGATCGGGGTGTCGACGACCGGCAGGGCCGCTGCGATCTGGTGCCGCTTGTTTGCCTGGGCGACGGATGAGACTCTGAAGCAGACGCCGGGGAAACGATTGATCAACGGGAAGATGGTCGCCCATACCTGTTTCTCCTGCGCCTTGCCCACAGCTACGATGTGGATGGCCAAGGGCGACGCCCTCACGACCGACTCGACACATCGGGAAAAGGCAGGGTCCTCGGGTGCGCAAGTGGGAACGATGACTGTGCAGTCTCTTTCTGTCAGCGATGGAAATCGGGCAGTGGAAGTCGGGCGGTAGAGGAAGAAACTTGCCAGATGGACGACGAACCTCAAGTACCGGAATAAGAACAAGAAGAGGAACAGGGAGTTCACGTGCGGGACGACAGCCCAGGGGTGCGTCCAATATGATTGAGTCATGCTGTGTTCGGCTTGGATGGTTAGGTTACGGATGGAAATTTGCGTCAACAGTATGAATGGGGAGGGTGATGGATGTTGTTCGTTGGAAAGAAGAACAGAACAGACTGAGCTTCAAGAGTCTGTATTTGAATCTCCCACCGCCTTGCATAAGAAGATTTGCAAGGCAATCGATGCTGTCTGTGGAGGAAACGAATCCGGGTACAGGCACGATGACATCGACACTGCCTCGTTGTTTTTGCTCCTGTTCAAAGATAGAACTGGACAAGTAGACAATGTCTTAACCTGCCGATAAAGACTCACCGAACGACAATGCCGCCGATGCCTCCACCCCAGGGTAAGATGGACTCGTGCTTCCATGTGTGTGTTCGAGGGGAAACAAACAAAGAAACAGATTTTGTTCACCAAGGCAGTCAGATATCACGTTTCCAAATGCCTCCCAGAGCAGAAATGGGATCCAAGGCCACGTCTGAAAAGGAGTTGCGGCCGAAACGACATGGGCATCGAGAATAGACAATTTGTTCTGGAAATCTGCCGTAATGGAAAGTGGCAGAGACGGATCGGACATCCTGAATCTGAGAAAAGAGGGAGATTAATATATGAGGATTCTGCAAAAAGCCAAGGAGGTGCTGCATCAATGAAAATGCGTCCTGTGCCCCTGTTTTGGGTCCTATACCTTGAGACCTCTGCGTCGAACCATTCGGAATGCCCCCTTGCCCTGCGCCTCGCTATGCAATAAAAGTCGTTCCTTGTTTGTACCGTGGTCGAGTCTATTGGTACTTTATTCGAACGTCATACTGATCTCGCCACGGTTATGCCCAAACTCGTCATCGTCATCAGCCCAGGCATTGCGTTCCAGATCTAGCTTCGGTACTGGCGGGGCAACTCCATCGTCAAATGGTGTCGATGGGCGACCCCAACTTGGTATGGCAGAGTCGGTTGCATGCGGTTTGAGTTCCGGTCGAACGGGGTCCATAGGAGCATGGTAAGCATCCGGTCGAGGAGAAGCAGAAGGTGTAGCGCTGAGAGCTGGCGGTGGGCTGGCGAGATCCCTTGGCTCTGAATAGCCGTAGGACGACCGCCTGTTCGGGTCCGGAGATCGTTGAGGAGATCTTTGGGGGCTTATACGAGGAGACCGTTGAGGGCTTGCTATAGATGCGGGTCGCAAAGATGACGACCTTGCAGGGCGAATTGGAGTAGGCTGCTGAACAGGGGCGAAAGAGACGTCAATCTCGTCCGGACGTGGCGGGAGATTCAGCCTCGCAACCTCCTCGGGCTTCATTCCAGGTGGGAGGCGCAAGTATTCGACGTGTTTTTCCCCGTCCTTGACGGACATTATTTGCATGGGTGGAAGGGTGCTGTCCAGCTCTCTGACTTCGATCATTTCACTCGCCAATTCTCTTCGGATCGCATCGACGTCAAACAAAACATTGATATCACCGTTAGCACCAGGCTCTGTAGAAGTGGTGCTAGCGTTCCGCTTGTGGCTGGCGTCGTTGGCATTGTATCTCTCCCAGCCTTTTTTCTCAGCTAGTTTCCCTCGTTTGAAGATGCCGAAACGTTTCTTGTCTGGTTTCTCTTCAGCTTTCTTTCTGGCCTCGTCGATCTCCATGATGAGTTCTCGCTGCCGCTGCGCGTGATTTTCGGGATCGGGATCCTCGATCTCGGTAAATTCGTCGCTCTCGACCTCCCATCCAACTTCTCGTAGGAGCCGTGGCATAGCAGCACGATAAGCCATGTGGCCCTTAACCCATGTGCTAACGTTGATATTCTCCACTCCTGGAATCCCTTCGACGGGTGCAAGCCCAGCAACTCGCATGATACCGCCCGACGTCATCCGAAACAAGTATCCGAGGATCCAGTCGTTGGAGGCATAACCATTCAAGAACCTCCCCGATACAACAGACCGAGCTCGCAAGTAGTCATCCTTGCTAACAACGACAGGCGACCCGAACATGTAAACATTCTGGACCAAGCCGTATGCTCCTCGATTCGACAGCTCCTTGAGGCATGAGAAGATGACTCTTGAGCCAAGAGAGAAGCCTAGTAGAGTGATTGGCCTCTGACCAAGGTGCCTGTCGATCAATGAGTCGGCCAAGATTAGACCTGCAGCCGTGGCTCGGTCGAGGGATACACTCCATGGATTGTCGATGAGATAGGCCAATTTAGAAAGCACAATTGGCAGCTGTATTGATGCCATAAGGGTGATTAATATCGTGCTCCCAAGAACTTGTTGCACAGTTTGGGTCAAAGCTTCAGTGGCGAGGATATTGATAGTGTCACCCATCGACTGGAGCATTTCTGGTTCCCAAAGCAACGAGTAAATGTCGCCCATAATAGGATCAACCGTGCTGTAAGGCAGGCGCACGTCGTCAACTTTGCCAGTCATCCAGCCAGAAATGGTCAATATAAGGTTCAGCCGTTTATTGTTGTGCAGCGGTCGGTATTCAAACGTCTTGACGCTGCCAGTCCGTCGATCTGCAGCTCGGACCGCAATCGTGCCACCAGCGGCTGTGGCAGCAGAAGTGATCAAGGCCGCTCCACCCACCCCTCCTAGAAAACCTGCGGTACCGGTGACACCAATGGTCGTGAAACCAGCTGCCAGACCTGCGCCAATGAAGGGTGCAAGCAATCCTGCAGACAGACCAATGACAAGCCCGCCGCCAACAGTCGCAAGACCCATGACCATGTATTTCTTCTTAAGCGCGCGTTTACGTCGTTTTTCCATGTGTTCGGATTCATCCCAGTTCTCTTTGGCTTCCTCTTCTTGCATTTCCAGGGCATCAATCACCCTCTTCTCAAATCGACATATCTGTGTCCAGCTAATATCCATTGTCGAGCCAACCCGTTCAAGTAATCGTCTCGATCGAGAGTCGTACTGACCGTCCGAAATCAGAACCAGGAATAAGTCACATAGGACTGTCCACCGCAAATCGAGCTCGATCTCCTTTGTGTGAGGCATGTCTTCCGGGCCGTGGACCTCAGGGACATCTTCGCCCTCCTTCACCTCTTTCAAAGAGATAGCCTCCCTTTTCGAGGAGGCGACAGAGGTCGTCGAATCTCTGTTTCGTGAGCTGTCTGGCTTCGAAGTCTCGGTTGCAGTCTCATCCGCCATTGGATTCTTCACTTTCGCATTCAGCATGAGAGGAGCAACGAGGTCAGAAGGCTGCACCCCATGTTCGGCGAGTTGTTCGATCATTATCTGCTCCGCCTGGTTGATGTCCATATGAGAGTACAACCGAACCATCATCTTCTGGCCCCACATGTCCATGTTCTCCAGAGACCTCATCAGTTCTTTCCGCACAGACTTTGGTCTCTCCAGGTCTCCCAGGGCTGAAAACATTTTGTGGATCGTCAAACGGACGACGCCGACGTAGGCGATCCGCTGGCCCTCTGTAAGGAGGTCTTTGGTCGCCTGCAGCTGACTGAGAGCATCCCGCTGCTCGTCGTCTTCGTCATCCTTGTTTTCCGTTTCTTCCGTCTTCTGGCCATTCCGAAACAGGTAGTTTGTGTCTTCGTCGAGACTCGTAGCTGATTGTGCATCTTCATCGAGCTGAACCCTGGTATAACCCTTCCCGGCACCGCCAATGCCCGCGTAGGGATTTGCCTCTTTCTCGGTTTCCCTGTGACCTTTCGCCACGAGACGTCCATTATCATCAAAGATATCAAACTCGTCGATGGCCGGCATTGGCTGCCATTCCTCCTCCTCATCTTCGTCGTCCGATCGATTTGCGGCCGCAATTTGTCTTTGATGGGACCATTCGGAGGCTGTGGCAGCATTGGATCGTGAATTCCGCTTCGGGATGACTGTGCCAGATATTCGAGATGCAGAAGGAGATGTTGCACTATCACCTGATTGCTCGTCCTGCTTCGTGTCGGACTTCAATGCCGTGTCTAGTGGTGGAATGCTGTCTGCGGGTTTTGTCTCGAGGGGCGGTACTTCTCCAAGAGCTTGATCTTTCTTGCTGTCCTTCATCTCCGTGCCTGTTGCGGCTCCATCTAGTTTTGTAGGCAGCCCCTCCGGACACGATTGTTGGTTGCCTTTGTCCACTAATCCTGGATGCTCTTCCGCTTTCTGCTGTGGCTCGCCAATAACCTCTTTGGTGTCCCCCTCGCTTGTGCCGTTTTTGTCCGCAGGCACCTCGACATCATGGAATGTATCGTGATCATCATCACTACTATCGTCCGAGTCTGTGGGTGGGTTGACCCTCACCGGTCTTTTGGGCAAGCCAAAGTCATCGAGCTCGGGTTCGGCAGGAGCTGCGTCAGGAGTCGACTCGTGACCTGAGGGCTGTTGCACAGAAGAATTGCTGTCGGTATTTTCCTCCTTTTTATCTTCTCCGCTGGTCATAATGCCACATTTGCGGGACGGTAAGCCTGAGACATGTGTCTCGAAGCCACCGGTAGGAGAGGGACTCGATTTCGACTGCTTCCGGTGTCAAGGACAAAGGATGTGCAAAAATGCTAGTTAAATAGGGCCTCCTGGTTGTGAATTACTGACATGTATATACAGACGTTGGTCAAATATGCCGAAGGCTCAACCAGGTAAGAGCAGACGCAGGCAGATCACTCTCAACGGCGCACGGAGTAAACGTCAAGACACTGCGCGAAGACCGCAGAGTGGAGCCTTGTCGTCTCACCACTTTAGGAAGTGTCACGTGGATGTGGGAAAATGGCAAGGTAGACCCCTGCGCCCACAAGCCTGTCACTCACGTCCGCCCTGTCCTCGATGTGAAACAAGTACCGAGTATATACCAAGAACGTCCTCCGAGATTACAGCAGTTTTGACTGGGCAGGGAAATCTGCCAAAATGGCACAAAACGATCTCAGCCCATAAATGCGCAAACAAATCGCCAGCATTTCGCCTTCCCGAACGAACATTACATCAAATGTGGTATCTCCCATTTTCGCACTTCTTACAAGCTCTCTCGGACCAGTGCCAGGTTCCTTTCGGGAAACCATCTTCTGGGCGAATATGAGTGTTCAACTCCAATGAGACGCAAGTGAACACACAGAACGGGAAACGGAGGCCAGGTTAGCGCTAGAAGCCTCTGAACCCTCGCTCTGCCTATATAGGCTGTTGTTGCGAGACCAGGACGGATTAGCGTGGAAGCACCGCAGCCATCTTCTGCTCTGTAGGTATCCTCGACTGCGATCCCACTGAACAAGTAAGTTCCGCGAACGTGGACCAGGTAACGGACGTTGTTGATGTATCTAGCAATAAAACAGAGAGAGTCGGAATATGGTGTGAAGAGTTGAGAGAAATATCTTTCCCCTGTGCCTGCCACTGCGCCCAATACCAGGGCACACACTTTTTGGAGTATAGAAGCATGAACGCCGTGGCATGCCCTTTTTTAACAACCGTGAACATGAACAATAGGTCAGAATGTTCGCCGACTTATTTCGATTTCGTGAATTGTTCCAGGGCCGAGTAGTCGCCCTCGTCGAACTTCGCCCACACAGATTCAATCCTCGCCCGCCGCTCCAGGGCTGTCTCTCGGTTTTTCTTGCTTTTCTTCGTCCGTTCCCCAGATAAACATTTGTTCACCTCACGCTTAATGTCGTTGCAGCCACCTATGGCCTTGTAGAGGAAGCCGCGGGCGTGACACTCGTCAAGGGCGTTCATGATCTCCTCGCACCCTGTAGAAAGTCAGAATACCTTTCACGGGTTGATTTGATCGGACGCTGAGCGACGGATGGTGTGATGGAAGAAAGTAGAGCAAAGGGGGTTGCTACGACGTTGATCTCTCCAGTTCAATGAAGTATCATGCGACTCAAGACCAGCTTGATTTGCCACGTACCGATGTTATCTTTTGTATGTAGATGTGAATGCATTTTAGTAGAGACTCGTCTCCAGTATAGATCATGCGGTTCGAGCCACGCCCACATCTGCCCCGTGATGACAAGTGCGAGTCTAGTCGAGGTGCAACTGGAAGATCAAAATGTAAATGGATGTTCCGCGGCCAAGTTGTAGATCTCGCCAAGCTGCAGCTGCAAGCCTCACGCATCCTTCCCAGCCTTGCATGAAGACACTAACTTCACCGCCCAAAAGTTTGTAGATTCTGCCGCTCTTTTCTGCATGCCGCCAAAAGTATTGCACGACACAACTATCCAACATATGTGACTGAAACTGCAAGTCGCTTTGCGCAACAACAAATTGGTGCAGAATGTCGATGACACTTGCTACCACGTGGGTGAGGAGAGGGGCTGCTGCTCAGTTTCCCACCAAATACAATGTCGACGAAGCAGAACTGAGCCGCATCTCTAAACTTGCCCGCCTTCAACTGGAAGATGCGCAGCAGGATCTTTTGGACGCGCAAAATCCGAAAGCGGAAGATGTGTCGGAAGACGAGGATTCAGATGCCGGAGTGCCCACAGGAGAAGCTGCAGACACTGCTAAACCAACTACGACCGACGCTGATGACCTACGAGAATATAACCTTGACGATTATGACAACGATCCTGTCGACGAACAAGGCCAGAAATTCTCCATGTTTGGCAACGTCGGCTCATTAGCTTATCATGCGCCACATGAGGAGGATCCATATATCGTGTTGCCAGAGGGAGAAGAAGAGTCAGAAGATGAAAGAGAAGAGTTGCAGATATTGCCTACGGACAACTTAATACTGGCGGCTAAGGTAGAAGACGAGGTTGCGCAACTAGAAATCTTCGTGTATGAAGATGAAGCCGACAATCTATACGTCCACCACGACATCATGCTGCCTGCTGTGCCTCTGTGTGTTGAATGGGTCAACGTCCCTGTGGGTAAAGACGCGGAAACGAGGTCAGACGGGAACTTTGTGGCAATTGGGACCATGAACCCAGAGATCGAGATTTGGGATCTCGATGTTGTCGATAGTATGTATCCTAATGCCATACTAGGTCAAGAGCCACAAGAGCACCCGGAGGATCCAGAGCCCAACGGAGAAAGCTCAAAAAGCAAGAAGAAATCGAAAAAGAAGAAAAAGAAGGCAAAGGCCAATGATGACTACCATGTCGATGCGGTGTTGGCCTTGGCTGCAAATCGGCATCATCGAAATCTGCTTGCTTCGGCATCAGCAGACAAGACTGTGAAACTGTGGGACTTGAAAACTGGCAAGTGTGCCAAATCATACACAATGCACAGCGGCAAGGTGTGCGCCTTGGACTGGCATCCAACCGAGTCAACTATCCTCTTGAGTGGGAGCTACGATCGGACTGTCGTTGCCACGGATATGAGAGCTCCCGATGCCGCGGCTCCGAAATGGGTCGTCGAGGCAGACGTCGAGAAAGTGAAATGGGACATCCATGATCCTAATTTCTTCTTCATCACGACCGAAGCCGGCACCGTCCACTACTTTGATGCCCGTACCGTTCCCACATCTCACGACAAGCCGAGCAAACCTGTATGGACATTACAGGCCCACGACGGGCCTGTCAGTGCATTTGACATTAGCCCTTCGGTACCCGGCCTTCTGGTGACAGGATCAGAGGACAAGATGGTCAAGATATGGAACGTCGAGAACAACAAACCCGCAATGGTTATTTCGAGGAATCTTGATGTTGGGCGGATATTCTCAGCGCAGTTTGCCCCAGATCCTGAGGTTGCCTTCAGGCTATCCGTGGCGGGAAGCAAGGGGCGGCTGCAAGTATGGGACATCAGCACCAATCCGAGCGTGAGAAAGGTTTTTGCTGGTAGAGTCCAATTGCCAGAGACGGACGGCAAAGAGAGATTGGTTGGCGCAAATCTGAGTGACGACGAGAGCGAAGATGAAGAGGGAGAGGAGGAGGCTGGAGAAGGGGTGCAAGATGGTTGGGAATCTATGGATGAAGATTAAGACGGCGGTTTAAGGATGACTGGATGACATTAGATGAATGATATCAAATGCCTTGATGATTGATAGACCACATGGCCATCAACTATTCGAGCACGAGCCCTTGACACCTCGTTATCTCTACGTGTGGCAGGCAGTCAGTAAGCCAGCACACCTAGAGTAACCAGGCATACCTATGTAGATATGTACTGTAGATACCTGGAGCAAGTGCCTGGCATGCCTGCGTACGGTTCTTAGGTGGGTATTGATGTGTCTCTCGGGGACGCCTGTCTGCACCTTCGAGTACTGCCTGCAGACGCCCCCCTCCAGGCGGGTGGTTACGCCTCCACAGGCCGAGCAGGCTGCAAACCCAAAGACCTTTGCGCCTATTCAAGCCAAGTCTCCCCTCCAAAACTTGTCCCCCCATCTTCACCTTCCAGCCCGCCCACGAACAACCGTCTTTCTCTCATCATCTCTCCACCAAACCATCGTCAAATCGCGATTCTTTCGATAAATTTTGTCGCATAATCCGTACCATCACCATGGCCGGCGGAGACGGCAGTCAGGATTCCAATAGCACACCTGAACCCGTCGAGAAGGGCTTCGCCACGCTCACCCAGTTGCAGTAAGCCCAGATAATCTGCCAGATTTGATGAATATGTCTGTCTCTGGATGCAGAAAGTCATACTGAAACCCATTCTTGCAGGATTGGCGTAAAGGCGTTTGTTGAAAAGGTCAGTTTCTTCAACTTCACGATTTATGACCACGTGACTTTTGAGATTTTCTTTACCGGCGTGAAGATGTTACTGACTTGTCGGCTGGCAGAATGGAGAGCCTAGAAAAGCGGAGATCTTGTCTATCAAGCAGAGAAATGGTGCTCTGACTTTCTAGTATGTCTACGTCTGGTCTGAAATAAGGCACTAAGGCTCAGAACTGACCTTCTGGCAGCGTACATTATGTCGAGTTCAACAAGCGTCTCGATGGTAGGCACTGCAGAGGTTACACTCTCTAAAGGAACTCTCTGACACATCACAGAATGGGTCACAGCCGAGCGCATCGACCTCTCTCAGGAGGTCGAATGGCCCGTCCCCGAAAAGCCTGAGAAGAAGAAGACTACCGTGACCACGAAAGGCCCGCCGTCAAAAGCCGCCACGTCAAAGTCCATCACCACGAAGGCCGGCCGTCCAAGGACAGATTCGCGCGCCAGTTCTGCAACACCTGATCTCCTCAGCTCCAAGGCAGGCAACGACCGAAAACGACCCATACCCTCCAAAGCAGGCGGCAAAGAGAACCGCGACGAAGGACTTGCGCCTGATGGGGATGCCTCCCTGGTAATCACCAAAGAAGGCACGCCTCTCCCAACGCTCGGGAATGAAGACGGCACAGCGGGCGGAGTCGACGTGGAAATGCCCGATGTCACAAAGACCGAGGAGAAGGTAGCGCCAATCATGGAACCGGAGGAGGAGATCGAGAAGCTTCGCACCGGTGGCTCCATGGTTCAAAATCACGCCCAACTGCATCTCGTGCGCAACTTGAACAAGATTCAAATGGGCAAGCACATCATCGAACCGTGGTACTTCTCTCCCTATCCCCAGGAGTTCAGCGACGTGGACATGGTGTATATTGATGAGTTCTGCCTGTCCTACTTTTCCTCCAAGAAATCATTCGAGAGGCACCGCACAAAATGCGAATTGCGCCATCCGCCGGGTAACGAGATCTATCGCGATGACTTTGTGAGTTTCTTCGAGGTCGACGGTCGACGACAGCGCACGTGGTGTAGAAACCTCTGTCTGCTGTCAAAACTGTTCCTGGATCATAAGACGTTATACTACGATGTCGACCCTTTCTTGTTCTACTGTATGGTCACCCGGGACGAATACGGTTGCCATCTTGTCGGATATTTCAGCAAAGAGAAAGAGTCGGCGGAAGGGTATAACGTCGCTTGTATTCTTACCCTGCCGCAGTATCAGCGACAAGGCTTGGGAAGATTGCTTATTGCTTTCTCATATGAGTTGAGCAAACGTGAAGGAAAGCTGGGGTCGCCTGAAAAACCCCTTTCGGACCTTGGCTTGTTGGGTTACAGACAGTACTGGAAAGAAGTGCTGATTGAGCTTCTTTCTGATCCTGGGCGGCTGCCTCCCCCGGGATCAGCCTCTCATACACCAACTTCAGAACAGCTGCACCCGCACTCGTCTCTAGGCTTCAGCGGGCCTTCGTCGCAGTACTCGACAAGCATCGCTGAGATAGCGAGTCAAACAGCCATGACTGAGAAGGACGTCCACGAACAACTCGAGGTGCTGAAGCTCCTGCGTTATCACAAGGGTGCATGGATCATCGTTGTGAGGGATGAACTACTCGAGTGGCAGGAAAAGCGGCGGGAGAAAGAGAAAGCCAAAGGGATCAGAAGGATTGATCCTAGCAGACTCAACTGGAAACCGCCTGTCTTTACCGCTAGCAGTCGGACATGGAACTGGTAGAGCCGGCCTTTGTGACTGTATATTAGCGTGGCGCTGGGGGAACACTGCGGGATGGGAGACATACGAGATCAATTGAGGCATTGGCGCTTTGGATCTTGCTGGGTCGATGGCACGGCCCTTTTGGTTTGCGTTGTATGAGGTTCTTGATGTCATAAATTCTCAAGCTGGAGCCGAGATAAATCGTTTTCTGAGATGCCTTGCACACGTCTGATATAGACCTTGCCGTACTGCTGAGACAATGTTCATGACGGGATGTTCGTATATCGGGCCAAATCAGCATCGCCACTTGCGGCGTTGTCTTCGGACCCGTTTTCTGTCATTTCTGTGTCGCCATTGTGGCCGTTTTGACTACGGCCGGAAGCCCCTTCGTCATCCAGTCCCAGCGTAAGGTTTTCCGGTAGGTCGATTTTCTTCTTTTCGCGAGCGAGTTTTTCCGCCCATGCGCGAGCTCGCACGAGATATCTGATATTGGCCTCTCTTCTTTGATCTTGCGACTGCAGGATTGCTTCGTTGACGTCCTTTGCAACTTTGCGTCTTAATGAAGGGTCAACTAACTCTGCCAGAGCACCGAAATCGTTTTGAATTTGTGAGGTCACTGCGCCAGATGATCCCGATACAGCGGCTAGAGTCCATGATTCTTTGGGGACGATCAGAAGTGCCATGGCCCTTTCGAGGTCTGTTTTATATTGTGCATCTAACGGGGCGTAGGGTGCCAGGTTGTTTTGAGCAAATTCTATGGCTTTGCCCACCAAGCTAGGATCTGAGGAAGTGAAACTTTGGCGGATCAGCTCGACGAGTTGGAGCCGGAGAAGAGAGAAGTGAAGCTTTTTGTCGGTATCCAAGAGCTATTTTACCAGGTTAGAATGGAGATAGACGCAACGTTGTGTGGAAGAAGGAACTTTGTGCCCAATAAATCATACTGAGGACTGAAGGTGTTTTGGCTCTCATCTCTGCCCGAAGGCTATGAGTGGTGCATGAAAACAAATCTAATCATGAAGGATGCAAGCAGGAAGACGGGACGAGACTCACTTCTGGATTGAGGTCGTTTATAAGCTCGATAGCTGCCTGTAAATCTCCACGGTGTATTGATTCACGAATCTGGACCCTCTCTTGAATATAGCTGAAATCAGTCCTAGGCTGAATGTTGGCTTCGGCGGCAAACTTTTCCGCTGCTGATGGATAGCCTTCGGTGATCAGGTAGTCCATGACCAGATTGTTGACATCACTGCAGGGTGACCGTGGTCAGCCAATATCACTTCAGTGTATGCGTATCTCTGTCAAATCTCGGTGATTTTTTTCAGAAAGCAAAATATTTACAGTCTCTTCAAGAAGTTTCAGAGAGATTCCCATTTTGTCAAAATACATCCTATAGGGCAGAGGAACGATCGATTGGAGGGGACGTACGATTTCGATATCTGAATATCGGCGACTTGTCGCTCGAAGGGGTGGGCTGTAGCAGCAGCCTTTGACAGAACGTTAGCAGTCTAAATTTGCAAGGACCAGGGTGGTGGCTTACCATGTTGACAGATCTTGGGAAAGCTCACAGAGGGGATGAACCTGCAGGACAGACCGTCCTCGTTCACAGAGATCAAAGCATTATCATTTCAGGTCTGGAAACAAGCAAAGGATGTTAGGCACTGTTGGAGGAACGCAAGACAAATCGGTCAAGATGTCAGTGAGATGTTTCACGTGACTGCGTGTGCCAAGACTCTGCCTTCTCCACTCTCTACTCTGCTGGGGTTGTTGTCGCTCTGTTCCCTCCTATTTCAGATCAAGGGTTGTCAGATTCATTGGCCTTCTCACTCCTCATCCCATATTGCCAAACGCATACTTGCCTGTGCGTTCGACGATGGCATCCTCGAATACTTTTGAGCAGTCATGACTTGAATAAATGGCTTCCGATTTTGTTGACATTGTTCACTGGACAAATGCCATTTGCATTTTGTGTCACCAAGCAATAGCCTCGCGCCAGGAAGCACAGCTACGTAAGTAACTTCGAAGCACGTCTCGATTGGGTCACTTACTGATATTCATCACTCGCAGTTGACTGTAGCTCCCGCAAAACCGAAGTGGTCGACTGCCCGTCAATTTGTCTATCTTGTGCACAATCACCAAAGGCTAGAGTCTGGTGTCATTCATCCTGTCGGAATATATCTGCATTGAGCTGCCCAGATGGCGATATTCCGACTTCCGATGACCTGGTGTCCTTTGGGATGCTTACAAGGCCAATACGGAGAGAATGGTGGGCGAAATCTCACAACATCAAATATCCTTTAGACCAGCACCTATTAGTGGAATGCACCTTACTGCTCCTCAGGAACAAATTTCCAGAAAGGCTGATCAAAAGACTTCCTGATGATGTTGTGTTCGAAATTATGGACGAACTAGGGCCCACGCGCCTCTTAGCCATAAAGGAAAGCGTGAGTCTGATCGAGAACACACGTAAAGGGCTACCCGAAAACAACATCCCGATAGACTGCTCGGGCATTCTCTTTGGATCAACACTCTCTCTTTGCGGGCGCTCCTATATCTCGACCATCAGTAATCGGCGCAATCATCAAGATGGTCTCGGAAAGCTGAGGGGTCGGCTTCGCACTGGCAGTTGCCGCGTAGCAATATCACTTGACGAGATTGGTGTCAGAGATATCCGGACTTTCGACTCAGCGATATCGACTATTGCTTCTGATGGCAGCCCGTGGTATCGCGTTTTCAATGTAACCTGTTCTTCGGAAGCAGCCTTTGAGGGTATCACGGATGTGAGTTGTTAGGTCCTCGCCCATAAGCCATCTAACACAGCATTAGGGTCTTATTCTTCGAGATATATACCCTAAATTACCCCGTAGTGTCTACGATCGATTCATGTGGGACACTCCAAATCCGCCAGCGATCAAAGCGTCAAACTTCTTTTCCACACCTTGTCAGAACCTTTTGCACTCTCATTTCAAATATGTTTTATTGTCTACTGAACACTGCGCGCTTGTCGTGCATTGCAAAACCAGCAAAATCCTCGATATTTGTGTACATCGCCTGGTGAACCCTGGTACGATCTGCAGTGCCTGCGATACTCATGCCCGAGAGAAAAGTATTATGCGACACTATTTTCCACTGAATACAGGGGAAAAGATCCGAGGTCTCTGGATTCGCCGTCCGAGACTCATAGCTAATGGGGAGTGCACTCTTATCGTACGTTGGTAACCCGTGATAAGAAGGCTTTTCGCTTACCTTGACCTAGATTCAGACAACTCAGTCACGAGTTCGTACGTTTGGCTATTACTCACGGATCAATCAAGACTCTTTCAAATATTATTCCGTTAACAACGACGATGGCATTATACAAGGCATCTACTATAACGCACTGGAGTCAAAGTGGGATTATGTCACTGAGCCTGGGGCTGTGTCCGTCTCAGTACCTCATGGTCTCGCACAAATTCCTCCTCCCCCTGCTCTCCCAGCCTTCCGTGATGCCCCTACATCTTCCTGGGGTTGGTACCTCTCGACTGCTCCATTACATGACCTTCGCGGGTTGAAATTTTCCTATGCGGATCACGAGGATCCATATTCTTGTACTGGTGTGCTCCTTTTCTACCTTGATGATAGTCAGGATACACTTGGTCAGATTCTCTGGGACAGGTCGATCCCTGAGAAAGAGATCTCACTGGAGACAGTTCGATACCGGAATGTGCAGGTCGGCATTATTCATCACGTTGAGTGGAAAGTGGTGGAGAGTGAGAGTGGAGACGATGATGGCTGGAATTTACTTGCACAAAATGGTACGATGAGGTGGTGGTCTGGACGACTTGGACATCGACTCGTGGTTGATGCTACCGATCCAACATGATTCTACCCTTTGGACCAGACAAAAATTCAGCTCCATCGGCGCGGCCTTGCTGAGGATGATATGCAAATGTCACTACCCCTTGAGACATGTGAATTGCCCTCGCTTCCGTACCTTCAATTGCCTCCACGAAGTGGTCCAGGAGACCTCTCTCCAGGCACTATACCTCTGCGAGCCACTGGCGGAGATCTGTTCATGTGGTCAACTCCCTGTTGTAACATGGTTGCATCGCTGGAATGGACCTCGACATATCCCGAAGGATCGGCTGGAATCGGAGATCCGAACAGAGGCTCGAGATAATGTGAATCGGGTTGACAGGTCCATATTCTTGCCTTTGTTCCAAAACTCGCCACTGCATATATTTGGAAGATATCCGGGTTTGCGGCTAGGTGAGACATACAATTCCCGTACGCCTGATGCTCCACTTGCTCAATGTCTCTTTGTGATGCCGCGTTCCGTTTGAGCTACTCACATCCAAGGAGGTGATCCGTGGCTCGCATCTATTGGTCGTATTCGAGCTATCTGGGGGACTCGAGAGAAGCAAACGCTGCCAGCAGGATGGGCGCTCGATAACGCGTTGCGCCCTGTAGGTGAACATAACCAAGAGAGAGAGATTGTGGGATGTGATGTTGAAGCTAACAACGAATCACCTCCTCGCTGAACCCTGAGGAGGCAACCATTTCTTGATGACAGGTCACATAGAACGATGCTCGACACTGGTTGGATGCCTCGGTTCATGGGCCTGGTCTTCTCTAACTTGGCAGAGGCTGTGCTGAACCCGTTGTGAGGCTGATATCTGGTACTGTCTGTGTGTGTGTGTGTGGAGTGCAAGTGATGTAGTAGGTGTGTGGTGTGGGTAGCCACTGGTCTAGCCTCGTAGGTGTTGGATAATAGGTTATTATATATCTTATATATCTGGATTGGTCTCATCCATCAAGACCCTAGCTTAGGCCTTGTCTGTTCGGTCATACACAAACAGCAGGTAGTGGCAGTTTGCAATCAGTGGTTAGACATGAACATGACCTGGCCCAGTTCCTGACTCCTCGACGTCCGCCATGTCCTTTGCCGGCTTGTCTCCGCCATGGACTTCAATCTTCTGCAGCTTGCGCGCGACCTCGAGGGTCAAGGTCGAATCCAACACCCAACCACGCATGATCAACGCGCTGATGACGGCCGCTCCCCCGAAAGCGATACTGGCAAAGTAGACGGTCTGGAAGGATTTGTAGTAGGCCGTCTGGGCCGCGGCCGATGCTTTGGTGATGATGTCGAGCGTCACTCCCGGGACGCTCATCAGGGCCTGCTGGTTACCACTCGTCAGAGCTTGGAGGAAGCTTGGTAACGAGCTTGCCGGGAGGTCCGCGTTGAGGGCCGCGGGAACAACATATTTGGGAATGTTCGTTGTCACTCGGTTGGTGAACTGAAGTGATGGAATTAGCCATGTGTTACGCATTGGGCAGAGCTCCATTGCAAGGGCCAACGACTTACGATGGTCACATAGATTGAACCTATCGATGGCATGGTCAGTGGTTTTCCCCCAAAAAAAGAGAAGATCAGGTCATGGGAATTCATTCCACCCACTCGCAAGACTGGACGTCAGGGTCCGCAACCCCCACTGAACACCGTTGGCAACACCAATGTCTTTGGCATTGAGGCAAAGAGGACCGGCGCTCCCGACAAGGACTTCTATCCAACCGATGGCGATGGCCGCAATGGTAACGAACACAATCGGCACCGCGAGTTTCGTGCCGTCCGCAGCGCTCATCGCTCCGCTAAAGGTCGTGAGCACAATCGCGCCCGCCAGGAGTTGGTATTTGACATGCTTGATCTTATGCGAGAGCGCGCCAGCGAGGATGAAGCCTACATTGAGGCCGGCGGATGTGGTGCACTGGAGGTCCGTCAGCGACGCTCACCGATGTCCGCGTCCAGATAACTAGGCAGTCATGCAGCCACAAGAAGGACTGATATGGCTATCGAAGAGGACTTCAAGAGAGGCACTTACCGAGATCCAGCCCGTCGCCGACGGGCTCTGTCGGTACAGAATCGCCATCTGCTGCGGCAAGACGATGCTGGAGGCGTAGAAGAGCATAGAGCCAACGCAGGCCAGGGCGGTGAGGCAGTCAAAGTTCCAGTTCGCAAAGAGATATAGAGGAAGAACTGGGTGGCGAGGCTTGCCGAAACGTTCTGTTCAAGTTTTTCAGTACTGCGGCCACTCGCTTCTCGTCATGCGTGACTGACCCCAGAGTATGAGAATCATGAATCCCACTCCGCCGACAACGATGGTCGCGATGACATTCGCAGACTTCCATGCTGGAGAAAACAGAGGTGTTAGCGGCGTGACTGTCAAGTAGGACTCGTCGATACTCGCGCAGACGTAGGGGACGTACCATATCGTTGGCCCCCCCATGAAATGCCCAGGAGCAATGACGTGACGCTTCCGACGAGAATCACCAGTCCGACATAGTCGAGGTGTTTCACCGTCTCTTTCCTACTGCCACGCTTGTGAAGTTGGTCGAACTTTGGTGGAAAGTAGCAGAAAAACTGAATGAGCGCGCCGAGGAAGCTGATGATGGCGAGGATGTAGTATATCCACCGCCAGCCCTGCTCGGTATTGACGCAGATGACCCTCGCTATTGGGCAAGAGCTTAGCAATCTGGACCGTCCTCTGGCTGGTGGGACGACAAAAAGACTTACCTATTCCAGGCCCAACCGATGTGAGAGGCGCAAAGACACATGTGACAATGGCGTACGACATGAATCGTCGGTTGTTGGGGACGAGTTCTCCCGACACCACGGCGCCGGACAGCTGGATACCAGAGCCCAGTCCGTTGATGATGTTCTGTAACCTTGTGAGCTTGCGTGTCTCCTCGACGACTTGGGAAGCATATCGCATACACCACCAATCAGCGTGGGAATATTCTGCGCGCGACTGGCAACAATATAGCCCACGAACGCCAGCGTGTTGGCCCCGATGAAGAACCAGCGGCGTCCAAAGATGTCGCCGAGCCGACCGATGGTGAAAAAGGCCGTGACCTGTCCTAGGGTCATGGCGAGGATGATCCAAATGGTATCGGGACTGGGACCTGCGCCGGAAGTCAGCCTTTCCAGATCACCCCTGATTCGGACAACAGAGACATGTTACCGATTTCTGCGTTGATGAACTCCAAAGAGCCTGCAACCATGATAAAGGCCAAGCTCCCCGAAGTGTATCCGAGAGAGAAGGCCTGGTAAGACGCCGTCAGTACGGGCAAGCAATCACCAAGCGATTTCTGTGATAGACGTACTACGACCGACCCAATGAGCTTAATGCTGGTGAAGTACTTCTTGGGCAGCTCAGCGACGGAGCGACCTCCGATCGCATCAGGGGCCACCTCATCGAAGCCGTCGAGGGATGTGCGAGAAGAGCTTTCGACGTGCGAGTCGAAGGGCGCAGTCTCCTTGGTCTCCATGGTCTAACGAAAAGCCTGCCTGGTTTGTTTCACGCGTGGACCAACGTCTTCTGATGCCAAGGACTGGTTTGTGGTTGTGTACAGAGATCGACCGGACATTCCTGCTAGGGGTGGTGTGACCATCTATATACACAAAGGAGCATTCTACCCAAGGTGACGACTCCGGGCTTCCCCATTCTTTCCCCACGGGGATCTACCAAACTCTTCGGCCTCGCGATCTCCCGCAACTTGGCCAGCAGGCGTGGGTTCGCACTCTCAAAGCTTGACAAAACAGGCAACACCGCCAGGAATTTCGGCCTGAGGATATAAAGGCCTCGCTTTACCGACGAGGCGATTCGCTGATCGGGTATCCAGCCAGCCCCGTCCCGGAGTCGCTTTACCGCCACGGGAGACCTGCTGCGAGCTCCTCTGTGCCGTGCTGGTCGCGTCAGGCTGGATCCCAAGGATAACCAACGCATGAATATGCCATGTTGGGAACAACTTACTCCGCACTGGAATCTATGATCGTGAACAACTAAGCCACAGCTAAGCTACCATTTACCGGGTCAGCCCCGGTAAAGTGTCGGCCTCTTTAACCGTATCTTCCACTCCGTGTAGAAGGACGAGGAGTCTTGGGCCAGTGACCATGAACGCTTCCAGATCTCTCAAGCAGCCCAATTGTCGTGCCGTTGTTATGGTGAGGTGCGGATCGGTCGTTTGACACTTACCGGGTCTTTCCGTCGTTCCTTCTACCTTGACTGTTTCTCATTCCCACAGTTGAGAAAAGCACAGGTTATGCCCAGTGTATGCTTTACTCACGTACTCGCGGGTCTTTGGAGACGACACAAACACACACATACACAAATTATATGAAAACAAAGGTTCGCAATCATGCAGCGTTGCCAGGAGCGGGCATACTGCTTGGGAGACACCCGCGGGAGTTCCTATAGCCAAAATAGGTATAGACAAGTGGCCACTTTCGGGGCTATAATATCACTATAGCTCACGCCTAACTACTCGCTAGTAACTAGATGTGACTGACTAGCTCGTCTTACCTTCCTACTATAGCTATACTACTCTCCAAAACGCCAAGAATTGACTCGATCAGGATTAAATGCGCTGTAGCACCGTCCCTCGTGAGATCGATCCAACGTTGATGGGCTTGTATGCTCCTTGTGATGTGCGCGTCTAGGCCTGTCAAACCTTGTGCTTTGAAATAGGTCCGGTTCAACGTGTCAGGTCTGGCATGCCCTCCACGGAGGGCTCTGCGGACTCGGGGACATCCAGCCTGACGTACCATCACTGATCCGAAGTAGGGATTGATGCCCAAGTCGCCGAGAATAAAGGAAGGAATTCATCAGAGTCATTCCCATCCGAGCACTTTGACACATCATGATTGCGCCATATCGACTAAACGAATCATCTCTGCTTGCGCGCCGACATGGTTATATACAGCGGGGGCTTCTCCCACAAGGTATTTATGATCTGACCCTCCATCCAGCCGTCACTTTCCGGGGACAGCTCAAAGTCAAAGTTGAAGACGATCCGCGCGAGGATCAGACGCATTTCGACATAGGCGAGGCTGCAGGATGGAGAGCTTCTTGTCAGCACACACACACACTCGAGCGCTTCAGGGACGGATGGGTCTTACTTCTTGCCAATGCAGTTTCGTGGTCCAACAGAGAAAGGCTCCATCATCGCAAGGTTGTCGTTGGCATAGCGCGGCTCCGTGCCGAGGAAGCGTTCGGGAACGAACAGGTCGGGATCCGCAAAGTACTTGGGATTGTGGTGCGAGGTCCACTGGAAGATGTTGAGATATGTCTATCAGGGAAGTCAGTGGGTCAACCAAAAGTACCGTGCCAGGCGAAGTGAACTCACATTGCCAGGCAAAGACTCGCCGCAGATGACATTCCCTTCCGGCGGGGTCACACGGGAGTTTGACATGGGCGTCGGAGGATAGATGCGCAGAACTTCCTTGATCACCGCCATCGTGTATGGCAGGCGACTCACGTTGTCCAGATTGATCTCGCTTTCTATCATAAAGGCACTTCGAACCTCGTCTTGCAGCTTCTTGAGGACCCTTGGGTGCTTGCACAGAAGATACGTTGCGCCCGAGAGTGCCGTGGCCGTCGTCTCGGAACCTGCGATGAGGACCAGGGCCGCATTCTCAATGATCTCGGTTTGGGTGAGAGGTTCGACTCCGTCCTTCGTGGTCATGAGGGCGTCGATGTAGTCGGGGCGATTGCGTCCCGAGGCCTGACGTCGCTCTACGGTCTGGGTTGTTATCTCCATGCGGGCCTTTGCAACGCGGACCGTCTCCTCGGATATCAGGAAGCGAAGCAACGGCGTGAGCTCCGGAAAAATACCCAACAGACGAGAGTAATTGAAGAAGCGGACCGACTCGAAGAAGGTCGTGACCCAGAAATGGGCACGCGCCTGCTCCAAACAGCCAAAGGATTCCCCCAAGGACAGGTCTCCGATGATGTCGAACGTGGTCCAGTTATACCAGGCCACCGCGTCGATTTTTTGCCCTACACGTTCGTCGAGGCGCTGGATGAGGAGATCGATGTAGCGGTTGATCAGTGGCTGCTGGTTGGCGATCGCCTGGGATGAGAAGCCGTGGGACAGGGCGCGACGGAATCGGGCGTGTTTCTCCCGGCTCGCTCCAAGGAGATTGTTCTGGCTGGTGGTGTGCTGCCGTGGGTCCTTCTCGTTGTTCCCATGGCCGGTGCCTATTCGGTGGCCAGAAATGCTGTTCCAGGCATCGGGGTGTTGGAAGGAGAGTTCTTGAGGCCCGACACGCACAATGTCGCCGTACTTGCGGTGCAGCTCGAGCATCTCCATGGGTGCCCTGCCTCGCCAGCACCTCAAGGCGTGCGGAATTCTCGAGATTGCATCGAGCTTGTTCCCGGGGTATTTGCTCAGTGGATGAAAGTACAGATAGTATGTTATGTTGGCGAGGTAATAGATAATGCCCTAGGACAGAATGGTTACGCCGGGGTCAGCAAATCAACGCTGGGGAATGTTCTCTTACCACCAGGAGAACAATGGCCAGAGGCTTCCACCACGGCTGGTTCACGAAGAGATAGGTGTAGAAAGACATTGTATCGAGGCTGGTGGGTGTTCGCCAGGTTTGGATCCCATGTACATTGGCTGCTGGTGTTTGTTTTTATGGTTGGTTCCCCGCGAACGAGAAGACACGGATTAGACACACACACACGGTAGTATACGAAAAGGCGGGGTTGGACTATACCATATGTTGGCTGGTTGGTCATGGGCACCGGCTTTCCAATAACCGAGAAGTCGAGGACGACGATTGTCTTTCAGGAAACCGGCTCCTCCTCGAATGGTTTCCGCTTATCCGCGTCCGGTATTCGTATGCAGACCTTTGAGACCTTGTCGACATACAGCACGAGGGACTTTTCCCCCGCAGAACTTTGTAGTGTCTACGACAAGCGACTTGGTGTCTCGGTACCTCGACGACTATAAACAAAGCATGAGATCCACACTGTGACACTCTCTGCACAGATTTTCAACTCGTTAGATTTTGAACACTCGAGAATCGTCGCCATGGGTTTCGATCTCAAGGATAAAGTAGGTAGACCTGGCCCAGGAAGGTGTTAGCGGCCAGGACCAACTGACGGAATCCTCCAGGTTGCCATCGTCACCGGGTCCTCCTCTGGGATGGGCTTCGAGACAACCAAGCTGCTTCTGGAGCTTGGAGCCACCGTGTACGGGTTCGACATTGACAAAGCTCCCGACTTATTCGTAGCAAACCCCAAGTTCAAGTCCCATCAGGGAGACATTGCGCAGCCAGGCACGCCCAAGGCAATCGTGGACGGCGCGGTGGCCGCCTTCGGCCGCATCGACATCCTGTGCAACGTCGCAGGCATCTCTGACACTTTTAACGGGTTGGACACCCTCGAAGAGCAAGCGTGGCATAGGCAGCTGGGTGTCAATCTAACCGGTCCAACGTGGCTCTGCAAGGCGGTAGTGGATGTTTTCCGGAAGCAGGGAGGAGGAGGCGCCATTGTCAATGTTTCTAGCAAGGCTGGCACCAGTGGAGCGATCTGTGGAGTGGCGTATACGGCGGCTAAGCATGGTCTGGTAAGTGACGACCTGGAAAGGAGCCTCTCACTGAAACCGTGGACTGACGAGACGGTTTCCTTTCACAGGTGGGTGTGACCAAGAATATTGCCTGGCGGTACCACGAAGAGGGCATCCGGTGTAACGCCATCTGTCCTGGAGGTAGGTGGGCACCATTCCATGTTATCTGTTGACCATCTTTTAAACACAAATGGGCAGGTTATGTCTCGGGTATTAAAAGCAAGATGGACTTTAGCAAGCTCGACCACGAGGCTATGAAAGTCTACGGGTACAGTTCCCTTCCTCTTTTCCAGGAGCCATCAGCTAACCTTTTCTGTTTAGCAAAGTTCAAGAGCTCCATCTCAAGGGTGCTTTGGACGTGACGGCTCCTCCTGACCGGCCTGCCAGGTTGATGGCTTTTCTGGTTTCGGATTGGGCCATAGACATCAATGGTGCCATTATCCCCATTGATAATGCCTGGTCCACCATTTAAACAATGGTCCCTCGATAGGAATCGACCTTGGCTGCAGGTCATACACGATACTGTGGCGTGTCGTGGGCCTGCTCAGTGACTTGCGTGGGACGAGTATAGGAACAGCGGAAATATATTCATTCGAGAGAATGTTTCAATTCGGACACAGGAAGCAGAGAAGAGTCATATATTGGGGATTAAAACCAAGTGTTGGTCGCACGCAGCATCCAACATCGAATACCTCCAAGTGTCAAGGCTAGTTGAGTCAAGTATAAGATCAAGTCGCGATGCTGTAGTCAAAATCTCAAGCCAGCCGATGCACAAGCGTCACAAATACGGTATATTCGGACATGTGTCCGTCAAAGCCGACTATGTGAGTCAACTGCCTTGCGCGACCGACTCTTGGGTCCCAGCTAAATCAGTGTCGTTGGTCCGAGCAAAGGCGAGTGGACCACCGTCAGTGGTCTCAAGACATGTACGTCGGAAAGGGATCCTGGCGTAAATATGACGGCGAGCTCACCGCGAGGTCGCTAGATGCTACCGGCCCCGTCCTGAATCGACCAAGAGCGAAGTATTTAACATCCAAAACGAATGGGTACAGTCGCGAACGAAATCAAGTCCGTGGTAAAACTAGAGCTATGATATAATCGTACATATAGTTATCTATAACCTGTCCCGATCCGTGGTTCGCTCGATATAGCAGGCGTATACTTCCAGGACCAAGGAGTATCCAGACTACTATAGTCCATAGTCGACGTCACGAGCCTACCGGTTCAGTTTACCTTTCTATACAAGTGGGGCCGTCGTTGTGTCTTTTATCTGTGACCCATGTAGGTCTGACCTACTGACCTACTCGTACTTGCATCATTCCTGGTATCACGGACAGCTTTGCCAAAAGGCCAATACCAGCCTGTCAGCTCGCCAGGCTCTGTAGCCTCGCCTGCAAAACAGACGACGCCACACGTTACAACCACTGCTCTAAGATTCTACTGAGACCACAATACTTACGAAGAGAGAATCTCGACGTAAAGATGCATAAATAGTGTCTAGCCTGGTATGACACTACTCTCAGCCTCGCGGCTGCTAGCCACCACACACGCCACGCCAGCTCAACGCGGCGTTGGTGGATACTTATCCGTCTTCGACCTGGCTTGTCCTGTTAAGCGACTCAATCGGAAAAAGACCTGTTGTGGACCGAACCGGGTCTCTGTGGGTAACCCGGCTAATCGGGCCAGACGACTACCGGGACGCAATCCTCGGGCCGACAACGATTACGGCGGCTGTGAGAGGGATGGTCCACACAACCTCCCTCGTCCGTGGGGAAGAGGGTCGAGACCTCGAATGACTCTTGGCGACTGGTGATTATCCTCGGCACGGCTAGACGTGTTACAGGAGGGGGCTTTTTCCAAGCTTGTGCGGCAAGGTGTTGAAAATTGAAATCGAGTCAGCGTTCAGTGCTGCTCTTGTCTCATTGTTTCGAGTCTCTTGGGCGGGCCGCGGAGCGGGTCTCAGGGCTCTATAATGTCACCCTCGACGAACGTGTTTAGGAGCTAGCAGTCACTGTAGAAGGGGAAGCAACGAAATATCACGCAGACAAGAACACGGTTTGCTGCGTATACCACCGTCGTGTCGCTGCTCCGTAAACCAGTATAGTACGCCTTGTAATGGCTTTGGCCGCCAACACGTACCCTACAGAATCGGACTCGCATAGTGCCACCCTTTGTTCATACAAACAGAGCTCATGTGAGACCCTCGCGTTTAGTTAAACATCCAGGACGTGTCGACCATGGACAAATCCACAAACATATTGTCACTCGTCGTGGTAGCTCGGGCGGAAGAACCCAGACCGTAAGACACGTCGTGCATGAGTGCTTCGACTGAGCCACGGTCTTTGTTCTCGGTGGAAGATGTAAAAATTGCTGACGGCGACGTTGCTTCGCCGTTGGAGAACCGCCGGGCGCGGAGGATCGTATGGAGATGTGTGCCTTCGATCAGGCGTGCGAACGTCCTCAGGATGGGCGCCGCCAGGGGATAGTAGGGCTGCGACTCTTCCAGTGTCTTCCACAGGAATTTGAGCCAGTAGATATTGGTGTCGCTGTCGTTGCTTCCGTTCCTCCGACCCCCGTCACCTGGATGAGGGCTAGAAGGGGATGGTGACGATAGAATGTGCGATATCAGAGCCGTCGTCGCCCAACACGTGTTGATCAACATGACCGTGACGAGCTTCTCCACTCCATAGATCAACTTGTAGGTCCGCGTCAGCCTTGCCACGCGAATGGCGTTCTGGTATATGATCCGCGCCGACTGATTCACGCATTGCTGCTGCTCGGTTCCGACCGCTCCAGAAGGCCCTGCTGCCGCGTGCGAACGACCTTCAGTGGTCTCCAGTAACCTGTTCCACAGGCGGTGCAGAATGATTCGGACTCCACAGAACTGCAGATTCAATCCATAAGAGTGCGGGTTCAGGTCATTGTGGCTCAAATCGTCACATTTCAGCTGTGGTGGGAGGCTTTCGTAACAGGCGTCGATTTCTGCGGCCAGTTTGGGGAAGAGATGTAATTGATTCGTCACGTCGGCGGAAGTGGCCGTGTTCAAGACGTCGGTGATGCGTGAAACCTGCACACTCAGTAAGCTCCATGCCTGGAGGATCTCCGGGATCGAGGTGTTTTTGGCGGCTTGAAGGGCACTGCGCAATTGCGCCAGGGTCATCGAGTGCGGCCGACCGAAATACAGGCTCAGGTTCTGGTCGAACACGAATGTTGAGAGGAACGAAGCAATGCGGTGGGATGCATCGACGACATCGCCCTCGTCGTTGAGGGTGTTGGATTGTTTATGAAGTAATCCCAGGTCGAAGACTAATCGACAAGCCATACCTACAGGATTAGTATGAGTTTGAATCGGTGGCCACGGAAAATAAATACCACAGTATATCCAGGATAGCCTATCGTTGCCTGTGATGCCCACGCACTCGCTAAGCAGAGTCAGACCCTGCATCGAGGCTATGTTTGGGTTTTCGATCTCCTGGAGGACTTGTGCCCGTGCGCGTTCGAGGAATTGTGCCCCCAGTTGTCGAATGAAGCTGGACGTGCTTACCCTGCTCGCAGAGCTAAGTATGGCGTCTTCTAGGAACGTCGAATAATAATGGCTGCGTTTGCCAATTGACCGATGCGTCATGAACGGCTCTTTTTCTACGACCAGGATTCCACAAGGGTGCACGTCCCAGAACGTCTGGAGGAGTGCTGTTCGAAGAGGCGCGGAATCGATTCCCAGGAAGTTTTCTTCTTCGTTATCGTCGGCCACTACACTCGCTGAGTCGTCGAAGTCAGCAAGGAGAGAGGTTTGCGGCAGCTGATAGGACTGTTGCGTTTCAAAATCCGAAGTCTGTGGTACTCCCGTTCGGGGTGGTGCTATGTTGTGAAAGTGAGGCTGTTGTATGCCCAACTGTCTGATGGCATCGTCGGCCGGCGTAAAGACGTTGTTTTCCAACTGGCAGCCTGGTTGACCCAGGGTGGTCATCGATCGTTCTGTACTGTCGAGCAGCATGTCGAACATGTTCTGACACTCTCCAGCCAGGCCGGAAAAGTCGGGAGGTTGTGGGGTTGGGAGTCTATGCGACCATGTTAAGAATGAAGACGACGACACAAGCATCGCAACTCACTGTCCATCGAGTATCTGGACAGAATGGTCTGCCAACAGAGAGCCTCCTGCCAGCTCCGCCGACATGAGACCAGTGTCTGGTGGTGGCGGCGGGTTGGCGGTGACCAAGGGAGGCGATGTGCCGCTCGGAGCAGGGTGTCTTGCATCTTGGTAGCGGGATGAGTGAGGACGCTGCTCGACTCTTTCGGATTCTGCGTTTCGTGCTCCATGGAGTCCCAACAGGTCTTCCAGTTCTGCAAGGCGACTGTGTACCGAGGACAAGTTTTGACCGACACCACGGCGCCTCGAAACACCTGGTAAGCGCGCACCGACCTGACAAGATGGGCCGATTGACTTACTTCCTGCGATCACCACCGGAGTCAGTGTAACATGGAGCATTTGTATTTCGACATTGGGTGCAGTCTGACCCTGGCTGCTGATTTTGGACATCGCACTACATGATGTGTGTCAAGGACTGCGCTCAGTGCGCCGGAGACGGGTGCCACGCACTTTGATCTTACGTAACCTGCAGTTGATGCAGGCGACGGATGCGCGAGTGCGCGCAGGAGGTCTTGTGCCCGCCGATTGCGACGGTTTCGACACCTTGGACGACATGATGTTGGCTTCGTAGACGCAGCTTTGAAAAGACGGTGTGGGACTTCCTTTGTGCCCGGGCTCGTGTCTGTGTCTGGAAAGAAGGTGGAAAAGATTGGAAAAATAGGGCCCGGCCCAGGTCGGAGTAAAATCAGGGGCCCCGCAAAGTCTTTGGGCAGAGCGTCAATCATGGGCTCCCCGCGGGAATTCTTTTCTAGCCAGATGCGGCAAGGCCAGATCTTGGTGTGGGGCGGCACTACCTTGAAGGTAATTGGTGCTCGCTTGCTTAAGGGACCCACTATATTGTGTACACTGCGGCCTTTGAATGGGTCACACGACTGAGTTCGACGAACTACGATCAGCATGGACTACACCTCTGTTAGGATATAGCTTTCAAAAGTGCCATTCCTTCGTCCAGAGATTCATTCGTACTCGTACGGGTGCAGCTGTGGAAGTGCGCAGCTGGTCTTGGGAAGAGACCATTGGCCTTGGGTAGTTCGGCGAAGCTAGCACGGAAGAGGATTCCACGGATAGAGTGGAGGGGAGGCTAGCTTTGTGGTGTGCAGCTTAGATAACTCTAGCTGTTCCAGCCCGGCTCATTGTGAATAAGCTGATCATCACTGGACCTTACTGGGCCGGTCGTGTAGGCACAGTCTCGCGCTCAGCCCTGCCCCTCGCCTGTCTGTAATGTGAGTATAAAATAGGTGAACCACAGCAAATAATATGTCTCTTACCATAGCCTGGGAAGACTGATTAGCTAGCTAGGACTCTCGCGTAGGCATCCTCTCTGGTGTATCGAGGCCCCGACGTTACAACCGACCAAAAGTGGCTACACACAGTAGCATCGATCTGTCCGGGTAACCGGGCCGAAGGTGGCAATCCAGCCTGACGACGATTCCGACAGCCTTGCGTGCCTTGTTAGCGGCCAATCTTGTACTTGCAGCATTAAATGCAGAATTTCCCAAGAACGACGGATACAAGGGGCCCTCGTTGGTGTCGATCTGTAATCATTCGTGGATGGGAGAGATGTCTGTGCTAGCACACCACAAACCGCGACAGCTGTGGAAGCCCCGGGCGGGCGTAGATACCCAGACTGATCGCTTCCGGCGGTTTGTCAATCAACGACGAGGTGTAAATCTTCAAGACTACCATCAACTGCACAAGTACTCATGTGATGACGATTCCGCGCCGCAATTCTGGGTCGACTTGATCCATTTTGTCGAGCTCAAAGCAGAGGGCAATCTGGACTACGCGATTCCTGCCGTACGCCCCCCCTTTTTCAGCCACGACGAGGGCCAATGCTAATGAAAGCTCAAGGGCCGCTTACCCTTGTTCCCACCACCAGAATTCTTCCCCGGCGTGAAACTGAGCTTTCCGGAGAATCTGCTCAGCGGGAGACCGCCGAAGGAGATTGCAGTGCATGTGGTGCAAGAGGGCGGAACCGACATCAAGGACTACACATGGGGCGAATTGTATTCCATGGTGGAGCGTGCAGCAGACGCACTGATCTCGCTGGGTGTGAAAAAGCATGACCGCGTGGCAGCCGTCCTGTCGAACCGGCTCGAGACGGTCGTGTTATGCCTGGCCACCCTCTCAATAGGAGCCATCTGGTCGTCCTCGTCCCCTGACATGGGCGAATCTGGAATTCTAGACCGCCTGACCCAAATCAAGCCCAAGATCGTCTTCGGAGAAGCGTCCGTCGTCTTCAAAGGCAAAGCCATGGACTTGGCGGCGAAGAATGCGGCCATTGTGCGAGGTCTCGAGGGATTTACAGAGTTCAAGACCCTGGTCGTCCTCCCTCCTCAGGGCCAGGAAGGCGGCGCAAAGAAAAACAACAACAGTGGCGGCCGTCAAGTTCTTAGCTATGAAGAGTTTCTCGAGCATAGTATAGGAAGGCCGCTAAAATTTACCCGACTGCCCTTCTCCCACCCTGGATTCATCGTCTACTCTTCAGGCACTGTTAGTATCCCTTTCACGCACGAGTATACGCCCCCCTTCTAACTAAAGGTGCCAGTCGGGTGCGCCAAAGTGCATAGTTCACAGTGCTGCGGTATCTAGCCTCTCTTTTCCCATTGGATTCAACCCATCTGACAGTGCACAGGGGCTCCTTCTCTCCGTCAAAAAGGATGCTTTCCTCGCCTTCGACGTACAGCCCGGCGATGTGGTGTTGCAGTACACAACGGCATGTGCTTACCTCCTATTTGTAGAAAGTATTCAAGCCCTACTAACAGAACCACGCAGACAGGGTGGATCATGTGGGCCATGGTTCTTTGCGGACTGTCTTACGGAGGCAGAACGGTGATATATGATGGCTCGCCACTTTACCCAGACAACCTGGTGCTTCTCCGACTGGTTGAAAAGTTGAGGTTGGTTGTCATTTGGTCGATAGACGGCACGCAACTGACGTGTACTCAGAATCAACTTGTTGGGAATCTCGCCCCGGCTTCTCCTCGAGATCAAGAAGGCAGGCCTGGTTCCGCGTAGGTGTTCCTAACCACCAGAGATCATCAATGATGTTCGTCAGCGACTGGAGATGTTAACACTTCCTAGGGGATATGTTGGACTTGTCCTCACTCCGCACCGTTACTTCAACGGGGAGCATCTTGAACGAGGAACTATGTGAGTGGTTCTATGATGTCGGATTCCCAAAGAACGTGCATCTGCTCTCTACCTGTGGTGGAACAGACCTGGCCTGTTCACGTAAGACCCGAGAGCCCCTACAACACCAGTCATACATAACTAAAGCTGGTTATAGTGGTCAGCGGCAACCCGACATTACCCATGCATGCCGGGGAGATTCAGTGCAAGTGTCTCGGGATGGCGGTCGATATTGCTCAATCCGATACAGCACAATTCGAGTCCATCGAGAGCACTGGAGCTGCAGGACAACTCGTTACCACGAGACCGTACCCGAGCGAGCCCCTCAAATTTTGGGGGCCTGGGGGACAGGAGAAGTACTACAGCTCCTACTTTGAGCAATTGGGACCGTACGTGTGGTGGCAGGGCGATTTCATCCGACGTTCCCTGGAGACTGGAGGTTATGTCGTGCTCGGTCGATCGTATGCCTTCTCCTTCTCTCCCAATATCTGATTGTCCAAGCTGACCGTGAGCAGCGACGGCGTTCTGAACCCTTCTGGGGTGAGATTTGGCTCGGCCGAGATCTATGAGGTGCTGGATAAGATTCCTGGCATAGTCGAGTCGATCTGCGTCGGCCAGCGACGACCCACTGACCAGGATGAAGCTGTCATTCTCTTCCTGGTCCTGGAGCCAGGAAAGACATTGACCAGCGAGTTCGAGCACCTCATCAAAGACTCGATCAAGCGAGAAAGATCTCCGCGACACGTCCCCAAATACGTCTTTCCGGTCTCAACGGTCCCGTACACGATCAACGGCAAGAAGATCGAAATCGCAGTCAAGAAGATCATCAGCGGCGAAAACATTGTGCCTTCAGGCGCGGTGGCCAATCCAGAATCCTTTGCCGAGTTCAGGAAATTTGTCAATGCTGAAAAGATGTACGAGGAGCAGTGCCGGGAGCGTCAACAAAGGGCCAAGCTATAGACCTCGACAATATACTACGTTGCAACCAATCTGGTCTTTGAGCCAGTCCCCTTGGTGGGGATGATATCAAAACAAACATACATCTCTGATTTATTTATTCGAGTTGGCCATTTTCCGTCGTGACCCTGTGATGGTAGTGAACTAGTAGTCTAGAGAATACTTGTCAACGTAATCGATGTCTGGCCTCCTCTTCCACGCCACTTGTTGTCAATCAACTATACTTGGCTGAAGAAGATATCTTCTGTTAGCTGCCAAAGGTTTTCAAAAAAGCCACTCGGGGTGGCAAATAGCACAGGAGTACTCATGCGGACTGTGTTGGAGTGCGTCTCAGGTAACCAGTGCGTGATTCGAGGTAAGAAACCTCAGGTGCCCATAGAACGATCCACAGATACACACACAAGGCAACCCCTCATCTGAGACAAAAGCCGCCTGGCGCAATAGCCAGACAGTGGAGCAGAACGAATGGTTCAGGTCCTGTCATCGGCTATACGGTGGCTGTTGCATGGGACGCAAGATCCATGTGGCTAAGGGTCTCACGGATTTCCTGCGTGATATCCAACTCGGTTATTCGTTCCCGAAGCCAGTGTCATACCGTGACCATTTCTACTGTATGCAACATTTGTGCATTCACTTACCCGGCTCACTCAACGTCTAGTGGCTGATGGTGGGCATAGCAGCCGTAGAAATATGCACTGATAGCAATGGGGATATAGCTCGACCCGCTGGAACGTTTTAGCTTACGCCCCCCAGCCAATATACGAAGCACCTCGCAAAAGTCACAGACAAACTGACGGTGCAACCAGAGACACAGAAGTCTGACGAGCTACACACAATGGCAGCTCCGAATGGACATGCCGAGACTGTCGGCGAACACCTCCAAGGTGACGCTGGCTTCGTGGATGGCGATCTGTACGCCCAGTTGAACGGCATCGACAACACCAACATCTTGAAGGGACAACACAAAGTCTCCAGGGGCCATAGGAGAGTGATCCAAGTGGGCACTGGTGTCGCCGGCATCGCCCAAGCCGCGACTCTTCTCCAAAACAAGACGCTCAGGCCCGAAGAGCTGATCATCTTTGACGTTTTGAAGGAGTTTGGAGGTGTCTGGGCAAAGAACACCTATCCCGGATGTGCCTGTGATGTACCGGCGCTGATGTACACCAACAGAATGATGATCTCGACCCGTAAGTTGAAAAAGGGGGGGATTTGGGAATAACTTTTGCAAAAACGAGCGGCGTTGACCCCCAGGCTTTTCCAGAATATACACACGTCTTCGCGACGGGCCCTCAGATAAAGAACTTCTATGTCCAAATGGCACACCGTTACGGACTGGAGAGGTGCACACAGTTCCAAACGTACGTCAGGTCTTGCACATGGGACGAAAGCAACTTTCTCTGGCACGTCGAGACGGAGAATCAAGCCACCGGAAACATCGAGCTGTGGACCGCCGACGTCGTCATCCACGCCATCGGGTCCTTTGATCGACCCAAGTTCGGCGGTATTCCAGGACTGGACAGTTTCAAGGGCCAATGGACGCACACAGGGACCTGGAAAAAGGATTTCGACTGGGTTGGGAAAAGGGTCGCCGTTGTCGGCTGTGGCCCAAGTGCCGCCCAGGTCATCCCCGAGATTGTGGACCAGTGCAAACACCTCACCGTGTACATGCGTACGCCGCCGGCCGTGCTGCCCAGGGGCGACGCCAAACACTCCAGGTATTGCCAGAGGCCTGTCATTTGCGTTTCTTACACACTGACACGGGCGCAGCGTCTTCATGTGGTGCTTGAAGTATCTACCTTATTTTGCCGTCTACATGCGCTTCCTCGAGATTGTCAAAGGGTGGCTGTTCGGCCCTCTGATCATCAAACGAGGCAGTTGGCTGAACAAGCTCCTCGACAAGAAGGCCAGGGAGTTTCTCGAAAAGCAAATCTCAGACCCTAAGCTCCGGGAGAAACTGAACCGTGAATATGAATGTCAGTAATAATGCCCACCCCCCATCCCCCGGCCTTGTGGCTGCTAATGCTCTGGGAACAGTCTTCTGCAATCGACCTCTCCTCCTGGACAACTTCTACCCCGCCTTGGCCAAGCCCAATTGCACGGTGTTGAGAGAGCAGGTGACCCGGTATACGGAGACGGGGATTGAGGCGCGAGATCTGAAGACGGGCGAGAAGTCGTTCCACGAGTTCGACAGCATCATCGTCGGCACCGGCTACAACACCTCCCGATTCCTGTCCCACGAGAAGATCACGGGCGTGGACGGGACGGATCTCCAGCAGCACTGGAAGCAGTACTGCTCGACTTTGCACGCCGTCGCGACCTACGACTTCCCCAACTTCTTCTTCTGCAACGGGCCCAACGCCAACACCTTCAGCTCCAGCTACCACGACGTCAACGAGTCGACCTCGCGCTTCATCGCCAAGTGCGTGGCGACCATCGTCGGGAAGAAGAGCCGCGGCGTCAAGTTCGCCATGATGCCCAAGCCCGAGCGTGAACGGGAGTACCAGGACATGGTCCAGCGGAGCCTCAGCGACACCACGATCCAGTACCGTGGCTGTGCCAACCACAGCATGAAGGACAGTAACCACCACAATACGGCGCTGACAGGGGAGCACGTCTTGGCCATTGCGTGGAAGTTCCGCAAGATCAACTGGAAGGAGTGGGACACCATCGAGAAGCCAAAGACCGAGATTTGAAGGGAGGCATGTGTCTTGGCTTGATTCGTCAAAAGGGGATGGCAGACAGGGGTGGGACAAATTCAAGAGCATTTCCTTCCCATTTTCCCCATGAGAGTCTACAAACAAATCCCTCTGAAATTTGCGAGATTATCTTTACCCTCCCCCTCATCTTCTCTTGTAGACAGGATGGCTCCATCTCAAAGCGAAGTGAAAAAACACATGGTATATAGTAAAGGCCAAGTTTCAACAAGAGAAACAGAGCTTTCGACGTCGGAATCTCGACACGAGGACTTTCCATTTCCATCTTTGGATCTGAGCGTGGCCCTGAGCCTCGCCGCTTCAACCTGAGATGCTCCTGCACGTGACTGAGCATGGTAGTATTCGGCCTGAGCAACGGATCATTCGCGCCCATATCTGGGCTAGGGGGCCCTCCCGACGCACTAATTATTTGCCAAGCATTGATCTGCCAAGGCTCAAATGTTTATCCCCTCTTTTAGAGTCCCTACATCTCTCCTCATTGTCTGCACCATACTTACGCGGTTGAAGGCCTGAAAAGCGATGCTGTGGCGATGCCTGATGATGATGGGGTTAGTTCTGCATTGAGAAGCGTTACGGAATGGCTCAACAACAGCTCATGTACTCCTCCGAAATCCGGCAGTAGCACGACTTCCAGTCGAAGTCGCAGCCCAGTGAAACGGAAAGCAGACTTTGATATAATGTACCCCCGAATCATGTTCAATGAGGACAAAAGGACGTTCACGGACGATGATTGGGAACTCCCTGACAGAATAAGGAAGGCTGCAGTAAATATACCCAAGGAGATGCGCGAGGATTTGGAAAGACATCCTGTTGCCAGACGGAACTTGGATCAAGTTACGTGGCAAGAGGATCATCGCCGTTCGCTTTCCGAGATCCGAGACTTCTGGATAAAGGTCCAGAGCATTGAAGAAGCGGCAACTATATGTTCGAAAGAGGGTCGGTCGGAGGACTGTTGGAGTGATGATGTTGTCCTCGAAATCATTAGACTGGCTCTCAGCTGGTCGGGCTTGAGAAACAAAGTGATGTTGGCAAATCTGTAAGTCGTCTCTCGGTACGCATAATTATGCTGATGTTTGTAGCAAATCCGTCGGTGTGGACCAGCCAGCCCTTCTCCCTGTGCGTAATCTCCACCGCGTCATCTCCAACAAGATTGACTATGGTTTGTGTCTGCAACCTGATGCTGAGGAGGAAGTTATGATCGAGAACGTCCTTCGGAATATGAGCGACGAATTGCCTAGCATCAGTCAGTCAGCGGTTCCAATGCTTCGCAAACGAGCCCTCTTCTGCAACCTGGAAATCAAAAAGCCCTATGGAAACAAAGATCCAGTACCGCAACTTGGGGTGTGGTCGATAGCAGGATTGACAAAATTGTCGAACCTGGTGCGAGAGTCCCACAAGAAGATCGGAGAAACTGTGATGCTCGAGGATCCGGAAGTGCCTGTACTTCCGAGCTGGAGCGTGGAAGGCCACCGGTGGCAATTCTACCTTGGAAGGAGATGCTCATCTGCGGAAACAGTAAGTTGTCTACTCGACTTTAACCCAGAGCTGACTCTCCTAGGTCATTCAAGGACCTTTTTGGAATTACGATACCAGTTCTGTTGTCGACATTATATTTATTGTGAATACCTTGTGCGAAATCCTTCGCTGGGGTAACACGACCTTTCGGAAATGGTTGCTGACCGTTATATCTGGACTGCAACCAGATTGATATTGATGTCGGGGGGGCGGGTTGGCATTCTCTTGTTTCTAGTAGTTTCCCAGTCACAGTCATCTTCTGGAGCATTCAAACGTTGGGTCACAAATTGGGTCAGACTGCGAATTGTATATCTCTCAGCACCACGACGCCGAACGGAACGCCAGCTATCATGCAGTGATTACATTTCTTCCTTCTGGGTTTACAAGCCGCAAATTCGGGTCATCTTCAATCTACTCGTGATCAGGTGTTTCAGCTAAGAACACTCCCCTCGCCACTTGGCCCAGACATACACCGCCCAAGTCTCACGGTTCTGCTGATGAATTCCGTCCAAATACGTCATGGTTACCACGCAGGGGAACCATTGGTTTAAGGGCAGTACCACGTGACGAGAGACCTCTTAGACAGACACCACCTGATGGTCTTGGTGCTGTAGCCGGAACAGATGGTTCGACATCGGAATCTAGCCACGAGGACTTTCATTTCCGTCTTTGGACCTGAGCACTACCGGCGCGTATACAACTAAAATGTAGTGACATTTAGCTATAAAAGCGAAGCCAGTACCTGTAACCCAATCATCTCGCGCATCGTAATACATAATGGCGGGGAAGATTCTTCCGACTCCCATAGGACACTGCTGGGATGGATCTGTCCGTCTGCTCGGGCCGTTGGCCCGTCGGACGAAAAGCCTTGGCGAACGCTCTCTTCTGCTTCTGGGCATTTTTGGATTCCAACTCAAATCTGCTACCAAACGGTTGTTACTTTCTTCAATGCTGAGAGACTCTGATACTTAATTCCCACGGGAATTCATGATGATGTGAAACAGATCAAATTCATTCCAAGAGCCAAGGGCACTATCTTATACGGGTTGGAGAATCCTCCCCC